CACTTTCGGAATCGGACTCTTCTAGCAACGTTTTATTCTTGCTGGGTCATTTAACAAAGACATTTTGACTAAAAACTTAAAAAAGAACAACATAAACTAGCACTAAACACAAAATAAGCGAATAAAAGTAAGCCACAAAATCACCGCGCCACCGATGACGCTGGGTCATAATGATCCGTTTTAATTTGAAGCCTGTGTATCTCGCTACGCAAGCGGAGTCACACTGAGTTAACTAACGGAATGGACTTAGGGAGTTTGTATCTCCAGCTATACGAACGCTCGAACCACAAAATGGACGCAAAAAAAAAATTATGAACGTTTGAAAATGCCTCGGGTCAATATGACCCAGCGTCATTGACGCCGGGTTAAAAAAAAAAACTTCACCGTCTTTTTAGTTTTGGTCTATATTTGAATCCCATTCAGTGAAATTAACATCACGAAACTTCTACATTTCGTGTGAAGCCATTGAAACTAAAATTCTTACTAAGTTTGAGAGTTAGAACTAGGGTTTCTGCTCGAGCTTTCTCGAACTCGAGAAATATTATTAGTTAATATTAATTATGAAAGAAGATTTTATTATTTGTTTCTTTCCTTACCAAAATAAGTAGTACTAAATTCTAATATTGATTGTTGTGCAATAAAAGTAGGTATATTAGATTAAAAAACCTGTGTTTTATGAGTGCCATTTGTGGTCTAAACTAGAGATGAAACGGATATCCGGTAACTATCCGGTAGGCCGGATTTCCGGCCTAAATTTACTATCCGGCCGGATACCGGATAGTAACTCACTATCCGGCCGGATACCGGATAGTAACTCACTATCCGGCTGGATACCGGATAGTAACTTACTATCCGGCCGGATACCGGATATTTAAAAACTACGACAATTTCCTATAATAAAATTAAATACATTAATCTTTTATGGTAAATATCAATAAAATGGCTTATAATAATAATGGCTTTTATTTAAAGTCCAAAAAGCCATATTAAGGCCTTTCAAAAAACTTATTTCTTATTCACTGTAATGACGAATACATAAATAGTAAATATCTGTTAATGTCGAAATATTGCCAAATATAATAGGCGATCTGTTTTTTACTGATGGTCTGATGACATCATGCAGTTCAGTTTGATGAAAATGTAGCAGTTCAACTAATTTAATTTTCGAAATCGCCCAATTTCATCAGCCCCCTAGACACGTGGCAAAATCTGACATTCTATTCGGACGGATTCGATTTTCTAAAAGTGTGACTTCTCTAGTCTACTAGACCCACTGATCGCGTTCTAAGCTCCTGTGCGGCGCTAAACTCGTCACGACATGCAACGTGACAATGGGCCAACTATCCGGCCGCCGGATATCCGGCTATCTGGCCTAGCAGCTCACCGGATATCCGGTATCCGGCCAAACAACTATCCGTTTCATCTCTATCTAAACTGAATAAATATTTTGATTTTGTGTTTTTATTTTTCAACCGATTTCAACAGCTTTCATTAAAAGACTCGAGACCCGAGAAAACTCGAGACCTTGGCCTCGAGAATTCCCGATACTCGAGAAAAAAAATAGGTCGAGAAATCTAAACCCTAGTTAGAACCTTACTTTAAATTTGCAAGAAAATGTTAGCGGACTTACCCATTAGGTACTTCCACATTTCACGATGTGGATGTCTTTTCGCTTAAAATTAAGTTTGCATTAAGTTTGCGTTACAAAACGAAACTAAATTCGATTCAGTTTCAAGCATAAATTAAGCTTTTGATTAACTGGCTAAAGCGCGCGACTTGGTCCGTCTTAAGAAACTACATTTAAATATGAATCTACTATTCAGTAGTAGACCAAATATCAAAATTCAGCATTCAACACGTTTTCAGTTGAATCAAATTTTAATTTAAAATAAGAGTCCTAAATTATTCTATGACACCAAAATCCACGCAAGCAAAAGCTGCTTTGCCTCTGTAATAAGTAATGTTTTCTTTCATTGAAAGTAACAAATGAAACATTGAAGTAAAATGAATTACTATCATAACCTCCGCGAGGATTGTTTTGAAGGATAATGAGCTCTATTATATAAATACATAAGTATTATAACCTGCCTGTTAGAATCGTTTGATACAACGGAAATGTACGGAGTCCTCTGCAAGCGAGTTTAACTGGCACTTGACCGATAAAATGTAGCTAACAAGCTCCATTGAATATTATGCGACGCAAACTTATAAATTTGCACCACGATGTTGACCAGTGTCTCGACAGACAGACGAGGGTCAGAGGTCCTGGATGCGATTCTTAAGTGGGACATGCAGATTGAATATTTGTATAATGATTGTCTGACAAATAAGATAAATAATACGTCAAACTAGTGGCGTATTGAGCTATGCTCATGAAAATACTCCATATTACATGTGAAACGGTCGGATTTTAATTAGTATACGAAATCGCACAATACTCACAAAAAACTGACTTAAGATTAAAAGAAATACAAAATTGAAACGGCACAATTCAGGCGTATATTAATACAGTTAGAATGATGTATAAAAGAGGATATGAATCGGCATAAAACCCAAATCTTCAGCCTTAAGCAAAAATTCGTTGACCTGACAAACCATTGTGCGGGTTGATACGGAACGGATAAGTATGGTTCCGGTAGAGCAGAATACCACCCCTATTTTATCTGTGGATGTCGGATCCGGCCTCCCCAAAGACCAGGTTGGGGAATGTAGGTCAAATCCCTCCCTCCTCTACCTCCCTTTGCGTCTGGTAAATTAGAGAGAGAGACTTGCTCCTGCAGTGGAGGAGATCCAATGACCATGTAAGCCTAGGATGCGCACCGCGATAATCTTTTATCGATTTTATACGATAAGCCCATAAAATCATCGATAGGATTTTATTTCGACGCGCATCCTAGCGCGGCTGATGATGATGAAGCTTCAAACAGACGGAAAATTAAAAGAGAGCATATATGTTTTGTCCATAGGTTGCTATTCGTGTGCACAGGACGCCTCAACACGCCGCAACTGATCCGTGACGTGTCGCTGGTGGACTCGAATCGCAGCGAGTTCACCTCCCGCCACAGCCTCGAGTGGAAATTTCTTTTTCTCGACCACCGCGCACCCCCCATCATAGGATACCTCCCCTTCGAAGTACTCGGAACTTCTGGTTATGACTACTACCACTTCGACGACTTGGAGAAAGTCGTAACGTGTCATGAGGCGTGTAAGTTTCATAGAATATATCGTCAGTGGAAAGGAAAAAATGTGGCCAAATGGCGCTTTAGCATTTCATTTTTAGGGGTTAAAGATCTACAGGGGTTACAGTAACTTACTTATTACTAAAAGTCGAAGATATTGAGCCCTAACATCATCTTCCACAATATATAATATACCAAAATAAACTAATAAGTATTGCCGTGAGCTTTTTGTATGGAGTTTGACATATTTTTGGCGTTTGTCAAAGTTAAAGTATGATGGTGCAACCCAGCCTAAATATAACATTTTATTTATTTTTATAAAATCCCGTGACAGTGATAATTTTATAGTAAAAATTAGAGATGGGCCGACTAGTCGCCGACTAGTCGGGAAAGCCGACTATTCGGCATCATTTGTAGTCGGCCGACTAGTGACGACTATTCGGCAAAATATGCCGATTATAATCGGCGCATTACAAAATTAAATATGTGAATGAAATAGAACTCATAATCACCAAGATGATTTGAGGTAGATCAATGCGTTTATCTAAACCACATTTGATTGCAAAAATCAGTAAAAAGTGGTTTCATCTGATTTAAAATTTTGGCTTTAAGATTAGTTACGTTTACCAGGAAATAATCAAAAATGTGTGTAAAGTTTATGTAATTTGTCCATATACAAATTATGACACTTTTTTTTCGGGGAAATAATGCATGGAATTTTATACCTATCCTGCGGGGAAGTGGTAGATTATGTGCGGTTCCTCCCATTGGAAGGATGAGGAATCCCCACATAAATAACCCCTGAGATCGCGTTCCCCTTAGTGTGAAGAGCTATGGAAATCCGGACAAAGCCATCAACTACCACAGTCCGTCCCGGCAATTGGTGGTAGTCCGTGCTATCCACGCCCCCAGCTCGCTGACCATCGCCGTGGATGGTGGAGAGGAATCAGTGGGCTTAGGATGCATGCCGCGATAAGCGCAATTTTGCCCATACTTTGACGTCGATAAGTAAGAATAATATCACGGTGCGCATCCTAGCCCAGCAGGAGGCGATCATATTGTCACATCTGAACCCTCCGCCGTCGAAAATTATGACATCTACCTTAGGTAAAGTTAGGTGATTGTAATGTTGCTTTTTATTTTTTCTCATGTTAAAGAAATCTCATTTCTCAAGAACTTATATTTATCTCTTTAGAAATATAGATATTCATATTTCTTTGAGAAATCTAGATATTATTCTTCGGACAAGTAGGTATCAGAATGATCGGCATTGCCGATTAGTCGGCCGACTAATCGGCAATTTGAAAACCGATTAGTCGGCTAGTCGGTTAGTCGGCAAAGACCATAGTCGGCCCATCACTAGTAAAAATCCAACTTAGTTTAAAATATTCAGTGAGGTTTGTTACAGCAGAGGTAGAAAAATGACGGAGTTTCTTCTTTGTAGCACTAATACACATTTGGCAATCAGTCATTTAGTATCTTTAGGGGTTAAAGATATTTTGGAACGTCTTAAAAATACCGTTTTGAAACTAAAAATCATAATAACTATCTTCTACAGTGATGCAAAAAGGAGAGCTGACATCGTGCTATTATCGATTCCTGACCAAAGGCCAGCAGTGGATTTGGCTGCAGACGCGTTTCTACATCACCTACCACCAGTGGAACTCTAAGCCTGAGTTCGTCGTGTGTACACACCGCGTAGTTAGGTAAGTACCTCTCATTGCTTACTATGGGCTGATTTTTCAATCGGCAGATATCTTTTAACTGATGAATAACCTTGCCATTTTGACACATTTCCCATACTGGAACTGTCAATGTGCCAAACTTATTCTTCAGTTAATAAAAGTTATCCGACGATTGAAAAATCAGTCCTCAGTCTCGCTCTCACTATTTACTCGCGTTTCTACATTTCGTTTCATTGCTAAATTCGTCGTAAGTTCAAAACACAAGTTCAACAAACAAACAAAAGTCGTAAGTCGTCGTAAGTTCAACAAACAAACAAAAGGTCCACAGAAGAAGTTGTAAAGGAAAGTTTACAATTCCAGCAAACAATTTTTGGCTATTTGGAAAGAGCTGAAACGTGCTTGTCGTTTTCTTTTAATGAAAATTTGCTTTAGTCATTGCTTGTATTTCGTCAGGCATCCTTGAACCAATTAAACCTTGTAAAGTTAAACACGATGGTTTACTATAAATTTTAAATTAAAAAAAAATTTCTTTACCTATTCATTCATTCATATCGTATAGCTGTTTTTCCGTAATAAAAACAATTTTATATCCAATGTATTGGTATTACAATTAAATATTCACACTCACTTTTACAAAAGGGAGCTTTTTCCAGTGTGTAAGAAGAAACATTACTTATCGCCAGTGTTTACTAATCAGCTCTTTTATTTGTAGCTGCACAGACATAGCTAAGAGCATGAAGCAGGAAGGCGCCGAGGCGGAAACCGTAAGCGAGGCGGAGATGAACCGCGGCGTCATGATAGAGGCGCCCGCCGAGGAGGCCGCGGCCGCCATGTCGCCGCCCTACATGAACGAGGGCGGGGACAACTTCCCCAACACGTCCTACCAGCCCTTGTCGCAGGTCAGTGCGAGGCTTGATCACACAGGCGACACTGGCAGCGTGACGTCATGATGGAGGCCCCGCCGAGGAGGCCGCGGCCGCCATGTCGCCGCCCTACATGAACGAGGGCGGGGACAACTTCCCCAACACGTCCTACCAGCCCTTGTCGCAGGTCAGTGCGAGGCTTGATCACACAGGCGACACTGGCAGCGTGACGTCATGATGGAGGCCCCGCCGAGGAGGCCGCGGCCGCCATGTCGCCGCCCTACATGAACGAGGGCGGGGACAACTTCCCCAACACGTCCTACCAGCCCTTGTCGCAGGTCAGTGCGAGGCTTGATCACACAGGCGACACTGGCAGCGTGACGTCATGATGGAGGCCCCGCCGAGGAGGCCGCGGCCGCCATGTCGCCGCCCTACATGAACGAGGGCGGGGACAACTTCCCCAACACGTCCTACCAGCCCTTGTCGCAGGTCAGTGCGAGGCTTGATCACACAGGCGACACTGGCAGCGTGACGTCATGATGGAGGCCCCGCCGAGGAGGCCGCGGCCGCCATGTCGCCGCCCTACATGAACGAGGGCGGGGACAACTTCCCCAACACGTCCTACCAGCCCTTGTCGCAGGTCAGTGCGAGGCTTGATCACACAGGCGACACTGGCAGCGTGACGTCATGATGGAGGCCCCGCCGAGGAGGCCGCGGCCGCCATGTCGCCGCCCTACATGAACGAGGGCGGGGACAACTTCCCCAACACGTCCTACCAGCCCTTGTCGCAGGTCAGTGCGAGGCTTGATCACACAGGCGACACTGGCAGCGTGACGTCATGATGGAGGCCCCGCCGAGGAGGCCGCGGCCGCCATGTCGCCGCCCTACATGAACGAGGGCGGGGACAACTTCCCCAACACGTCCTACCAGCCCTTGTCGCAGGTCAGTGCGAGGCTTGATCACACAGGCGACACTGGCAGCGTGACGTCATGATGGAGGCCCCGCCGAGGAGGCCGCGGCCGCCATGTCGCCGCCCTACATGAACGAGGGCGGGGACAACTTCCCCAACACGTCCTACCAGCCCTTGTCGCAGGTCAGTGCGAGGCTTGATCACACAGGCGACACTGGCAGCGTGACGTCATGATGGAGGCCCCGCCGAGGAGGCCGCGGCCGCCATGTCGCCGCCCTACATGAACGAGGGCGGGGACAACTTCCCCAACACGTCCTACCAGCCCTTGTCGCAGGTCAGTGCGAGGCTTGATCACACAGGCGACACTGGCAGCGTGACGTCATGATGGAGGCCCCGCCGAGGAGGCCGCGGCCGCCATGTCGCCGCCCTACATGAACGAGGGCGGGGACAACTTCCCCAACACGTCCTACCAGCCCTTGTCGCAGGTCAGTGCGAGGCTTGATCACACAGGCGACACTGGCAGCGTGACGTCATGATGGAGGCCCCGCCGAGGAGGCCGCGGCCGCCATGTCGCCGCCCTACATGAACGAGGGCGGGGACAACTTCCCCAACACGTCCTACCAGCCCTTGTCGCAGGTCAGTGCGAGGCTTGATCACACAGGCGACACTGGCAGCGTGACGTCATGATGGAGGCCCCGCCGAGGAGGCCGCGGCCGCCATGTCGCCGCCCTACATGAACGAGGGCGGGGACAACTTCCCCAACACGTCCTACCAGCCCTTGTCGCAGGTCAGTGCGAGGCTTGATCACACAGGCGACACTGGCAGCGTGACGTCATGATGGAGGCCCCGCCGAGGAGGCCGCGGCCGCCATGTCGCCGCCCTACATGAACGAGGGCGGGGACAACTTCCCCAACACGTCCTACCAGCCCTTGTCGCAGGTCAGTGCGAGGCTTGATCACACAGGCGACACTGGCAGCGTGACGTCATGATGGAGGCCCCGCCGAGGAGGCCGCGGCCGCCATGTCGCCGCCCTACATGAACGAGGGCGGGGACAACTTCCCCAACACGTCCTACCAGCCCTTGTCGCAGGTCAGTGCGAGGCTTGATCACACAGGCGACACTGGCAGCGTGACGTCATGATGGAGGCCCCGCCGAGGAGGCCGCGGCCGCCATGTCGCCGCCCTACATGAACGAGGGCGGGGACAACTTCCCCAACACGTCCTACCAGCCCTTGTCGCAGGTCAGTGCGAGGCTTGATCACACAGGCGACACTGGCAGCGTGACGTCATGATGGAGGCCCCGCCGAGGAGGCCGCGGCCGCCATGTCGCCGCCCTACATGAACGAGGGCGGGGACAACTTCCCCAACACGTCCTACCAGCCCTTGTCGCAGGTCAGTGCGAGGCTTGATCACACAGGCGACACTGGCAGCGTGACGTCATGATGGAGGCCCCGCCGAGGAGGCCGCGGCCGCCATGTCGCCGCCCTACATGAACGAGGGCGGGGACAACTTCCCCAACACGTCCTACCAGCCCTTGTCGCAGGTCAGTGCGAGGCTTGATCACACAGGCAGGCGACACTGTGTCTTATCCCTTGTAATGAAATGAAATAGTTTATTCAGTACATAGGCCCTTTTCAGGGCACTTATACACGTCCGAAATGTAGGTTGCCCTACCACCACTTCAGGACAACATATAGGCTGATGCTGAGAAAAAGTGGCGGAAGAAACTCATGCCCGTTTTCACCATCAATCCCTACTTTTAAAGTGACCCCTATGGTAACAACAGGAATTTGGTTTTCATCAGCCACCTTTGTTAGCCTCTTTTTCAACCAAATACAGCTTTATAACTTACATGACACGTGATAAGTGAGAGCTAGGCTGCTAGTCCACGCACTCTTGTCTATTCTAATGCAATACTTACTTACGAGGCTGACTGTAAGCATCATCATCTACTTCCATTAAAACTGCGAAGAGAAGTCGCTGATCTTACCTTCCTCCATAACCTAATTAATGGTAAAATAGACTGCAGTGAGCTTCTTTCGCGAATCAAGTTACAGGTGCCTACTCGTGCCAATGTCAGGAGAAATTATCTTAGACTTCACGTTGATGCATGTACCACTAATTATGGACGCAATTCCTTCTTTAACAGAGTTTTCAAAACTTTTAACAGCAATTATTCTGAAAATGTTGACCTTTTTCATATTGTGAGACCAAACTACTTCAAAAATCAAAGTAATAAGGAATTCTTTGGCGACACTACTTAGCACTCTCCCGGTAAAAAGTTGAAGTATCTGTTTACTGCTTAATATTCTGCTATTTTGGTATGGCTTTAGTAGGTATTTTCTGTATTGTTTTAACTTTTTTCATATATTGTTGTTATACTGCATGCTAAATGGTTTTGTTTTGGATTGTATCTTGATATGCTATTTGTGAAAACTATGTAAGGCATTTTTGATCTTAACCGCCTCATCTATTAATAATGCATATATGCTGTTTGTTTTCCATAAAATAAATAAATAAATAAATAAATAAATAGATATGTAACCCGTAATTAATTTTGTTTCCAGCCCGCCTCAGTGAAGTCTGCCTCGGCGGGCAGCACGTCGGGCACCGTAGTCACGTGCACCACGGCCACGGCGGGCGCGTCGTGGGCGCGCACCCCGCACGCGCGCTACACCGGCGGCTCCGACACCGCGTCGCTGTCCGGCGAGTCGCGCTCCTCGCAGCGGAACAACCAGCGTGAGGTCCAGCGCGAGGTTAGTTGAGCTAATATACAGGGTGTTAGGTAAATGGGTATATGAGCCGACACTAGTCCATGTTAACATGGTCATATAAATGGTATGGTGAAGTCAGAAAATTGATATCTTCATTTTAATTATTTTAATTTTCATACAAATCGGATTTTATAAAATTTATTTTGTATAAAAATTTAAAAAATTAAAATGATGATATCAAATTTCTGACTTCAACATACCATTTATATGCCCATGTTAACATGGGCTAGTGTCGGCTCATATACCCATTTACCTAACACCCTGTATAGGCGGGCGCGTCGTGGGCGCGCACCCCGCACGCGCGCTACACCGGCGGCTCCGACACCGCCTCGCTGTCCGGCGAGTCGCGCTCCTCGCAGCGGAACAACCAGCGTGAGGTCCAGCGCGAGGTGAGACTTCCGCATTGAGCTAAATATACAGGCGGGCACGTCGTGGGCTTGGACACACTTTTAATATAAATCTATATAATATATAAAAGAAAGTCGTGTTAGTTACTCCACTTTAACTCAAGAACGGCGGAACCGATTTAGCTGAAAATTGTCAGGGAGGTAATTTAGAGCCAGGAGAAGGACATAGGATACTTTTTATGCCGTTCGAAATAAAAAAAAAGTCTGCTTATTTATTGCCATTAAGGCGGAACAAAGTTCGCCGGGTTAGCTAGTATTAAATAAATAGAAATAGAAAAACATTTATTTTAGCTCGTACAATAAGTACACAATTTTTCTTTCTTCCTAATAAAATATCATATTCAAATGAGGCCGCAATAATCTAACCTTTGTGTCCTTGGCCCTAACAGCCACAGATGGTGTTGCAGGTGGTGGAGCCGACGCTGGTGCCGCAGCACGGCATAGGTGCGCAGTACCTCGATCCGTCGCCATACGTGGGCGTGGCCGGCGCGGTGGGCGTGGCCGGAGCGGTGGGCGTGCCTGGCGTTATGCCGCTGCCGTTGCCGCCGCTGCCGGTCATCGTGTCGCAGGATCAGGCGCAGATGCAGGTGAGAATAGCTACCTGAAAGCTATAAACTCAGGCAGTCGGCACGGGAGAGGTGATTTTGACATACACTCGCTCGGCATCAACTAAATAGCACCACCCGTGACAATAACTTTGAAGATTTTTTTCTCACACAATCATGGTGCCCCACTAATATTGGTGTTATTTGAAAGACCAATAAATAAACTTATAGAAAAACACATTTAATTTTTATACAATGTGAGTCACGTTAAAGTGTACATATGAAAATAGATGAAACTAGCCCTATTTTTATCGACAAAAAGAGGTCAAAAAATTTTGAGTTTTAAAAAAAAAAAAAAATATACAGGGTGTCCCGTAATTCAACGTCAATCATGCAGCATTTGGACCTCCCGTCTACGTATTGCCATCTGGCGGATTTTTCAATCGCGAAAACCCTCATTGGAAGAAAAAAAAATCTATAAAAAAATTTAAAAAATCTAGAAAAAAAATTTACCTTTTTGTCGATAAAAATAGGTCTAGTTTCATCTATTTTCATATGTACACTTTAACGTGACTCACACTGTATAAACAATTAACAAGCACCATAAATGTGACTTGAAAAAAGCCACACTTGGGGCTCACCTCTGGGACTTTTAACTAAGGAATTTTGGCATATTGACAGTTTCAGTATGGGAAATAATATGGCAAAATGTTAAGTTTATTCTTCAGTTAAAAGTTATCGGACGATTGAAAAATCAGCCCTATGTTGCCAATTTTCAGTTTCATGCTACTGTGATGAAGTTGTCTGTTAGATTATGTAGTTTACGCATTTTACAAGACTTTTGATAAACTAGACTAGCAGTTCAGTTTTTTTTTAAATGACGCCGTTTTATCAATCAATCGCAAACTTAGTTATTGATCGCGCAACGATAGTTGAGGCTATCAACACAAGTAAAGATTTGTATCTGTATACGCCGCTATCTGCGCTGACGTCTTGCGGAGTCGGTCTGACAAGTGGTTTATTTTGAGGTAGCAAGTGTATAGTTCCAATATACTGAACTGTCCTATCCATGACATTGACAGCGTGGCGCCACCGTCAATACCGTATCGCTGGTTCCGATTTTTGCCATGTTGGAAACCATATAGTTGAACGATGGTAGCGCCCCCCTGTCATTCAGTTTGGTGGGACAGTTCAGCGTGGATCATTTAAACTCGATATTTGGACTTGAAGGCTGTGGCATAATGTGCTATTTGTGTTCTGTATTCAAATATTACATCAGTGTGAGTACGTGTTCGCCTCAACTTGCGTTGAGCGACCTATAGCAGGCCTGTACCTCTATTACGAAAAACTTTCGAGTTCGTTTCGTTTGCGTATTCAAAGTGCCATCGAAAAATTTTGTATGAAAAATTAAACAGCGCCCCCTATATTATAGCCGCCCTAGGGGGCGCTGTTTAATTTTTCATACAAAATTTTTCGATGGCACTTTGAATACGCAATCGAAACGAACTCGAAAGTTTTTCGTAATAGAGGTACTGTTCATCTCCGCTAGTTTACATCGAAAACAAAACACGCACGATGGCCCACCTACAGGATACTATTCGACAAGGCCTCACATACGAGCGAACATTGACTCACGCACGCGTATTCTTGTGTATGATGGAAGAAAATAAAGAAAATGGTGTACTAAATACTGTGCAGTATTTAACTGCCTAAATAATAATAAAAACACAGAATGTACTTTTTTAAGTTGCCTCAAGGCACTGAGAGGTAAATAAGTAGTTAATATTATTCATGATAATTCATGCTAAATCATGTATTTCCTCCGTCATTTTGATCGCTAATGTCAGTTTGTAGCGAGTGACACAACCTCCCCGTCTGAAGGCCAGCGGCCGACTGCCGCCCGCACCCCGCGAAGGCCCCCTCAACAGCAAAACGTTCGGAATTTATCAAAAGTAAAATTTATGAATGAAAGTAATGTTCGATTGAAAAACGCAACGTGTCATTTAAAGATTAAAGAATTCCCAATCTATTCGTGCAAAAATCTTTTAAATTAACATAGCCGTTTTGGAGGAGTAGGGAATTTAAGTAAAAAATCGATGTCCCGTATTTATTTTTTTAATCCAAAACAAAGAGACGTAGCGAAAATTCAAACGTCACAAATGTAGTCCTAGAACTGTTGTATAACATATATTTTTTTCAACTATTTCTGTCCAGCAGTAAAAGAGGAGTAGGCTTTACAAAATGCCCATTTGGCGCGGATTGAGGACACTAATCGCCTTAAGGGTGGTATCGACTAAATAGTAATTTCAGAATAAATCGTCAGTTTTGACATATTTCCCATACTGAAACTGTCTATGTGCCAGTTATACCAGGAGTTATTCTCGGATAAAAGTTTGGTCGAATCAGGCCTAAGCCAGCCAAAATTTTAATATTATTAGTTGTATTTTATTCTACAGGGTGTTAGGTAAATGGGTATATGAGCCGACACTAGGCCATGTTAACATGGTCATATAAATGGTATGGTGAAGTCAGAAATTTGATATCATCATTTTAATTTTTTTAATTTTCATACAAAATTAAATTTATAAAATCCGATTTGTATGAAAAATAAAATAATTAAAATGAAGATATCAATTTTCTGACTTCACCATATCATTTATATGACCATGTTAACATGGGCTAGTGTCGGCTCATATACCCATTTACCTAACACCTTGTATAGATGTTACAGTCAAAACTCATTTGACTTGTTTTTGCAGTCAAAAGTGGATTTGACCGATGCCCTTGGTCAATTTCGCTTTTAACTAATTTTTTCAGTCAAAAGTGGTTTTGACCGATTATGAGTTTTGACTGTAACAGATATAAATTAATTTATTGCTATTGGGCGAATTGTGATTGATATGAGAGGCGAGTTTACCTACGAAATTGCAGTTTTGATAAGATAAATTATCAACGAAATTTATTTTTCCATACAAACATCTTTTTGCTTTTGGAACCGAAAGGTCTGAATGCTATAGAAAAAATGTAAAATAGAATAACTATAAAATGGAAAAAATCTGCAATTTTATAGGTAAAGACAATATTGCGTGGTATGAATGTTCATAACGCGATCGTAACTGTTTTGCCATTGCTATTTGATGCGAGCTAGTGGCCGTGGCAGGAGCAGTTGCAACGCAAGCACGAGGAGCTGCAGCAGATGATCGTGAGGCAGCAGGAGGAGCTGCGCCAGGTCAAGGAACAGCTGCTGCTGGCCAGGCTGGGGATACTGCAGCCGCTTATAAACGTAAGCACAAACAATTGTAAACCTTAACACCCGCGACATAAAGGCCACAACTACGATCGTGAGGCACCAGGCGCTGCGCTAGGTCAAGGAACAGCTGCTGCTAGCCAGGCTGGGGATACTGCAGCCGCTTATAAACGTAAGCACAAACAATTGTAAACCTTAACACCCGCGACATAAAGGCCACAACTACGATCGTGAGGCCAAGGAACAGCTGCTGCTGGCCAGGCTGGGGATACTGCAGCCGCTTAGGGCTATATTTCACCGGGACACCATGGCGGCGCAACCAGTCGCCGGCTACCAACAAAATGTATTTAGCTCTATAGAGAGTTACTCACCTGGTGTCCGTTTGGTTGCGCAAAGCTGCATACATTTTGTTGGTAGCGGCGACTGGTTGCGCCGCCATGGTGTCCCGGTGAAATATAGCCCATAAACGTAAGAACAAACAATTGTAAACCTTAATTCCCACGACATAAAGGCCACACTCTATTGGAAATATTCGTCATTTATGATAAACTAACAGATTTTTAGACTGTACCCATCACAAACACTGTCATTATTATGGTGTTGTAACAGGTGTGATTTTGTATGAAAAAATAATCATAATATAGCCCGACCAGGAACATAAAAACCCTCGCCATGTTGCGGAAAACTAATGGTACTAATTTCTTTTAATGGCAACAGTGACTGAAAACTTCATTGACATGTCACCTTGCATGTCAGTCTATTGCTGTCAAAGTGTAAACAAACTTTATTGTAAATGTGCGCAATTGATTTTGTGAATTAAATTGCTAAAATCTTTTTATAGTCGTGAAAGAAAAGTGGTTCACAATGTGTTAAAGTATTTGTCGAAGAGAAATATTAAGGGTTCGGACAATATTTTCATTGAATAATGTTTCCGACAAAGGTTGTCAAATTGACTGACATGTTTATCGCATAGTACAGTCCACTATGAAAATTTGCTGTGTTTGTTACAACTACCTATTTTAAAAAAAAAATGTCATTTTCTAAGTGTTTAATTTTATGGAATTGGGAAAGAAGTACCGAGTTTGAAGCGTTCATGAGCAAAAATTGCAGTTGAATATTCAAGTTCTGAATTTGATTATTGATGAATATTAAAATAAATCCTACTAGCTCGATTGATGGTTTCATTTAATTTATTTAAACCAGGTTACCTATAATAATATTTTTTCGTTAATTTATGAAAATATCAAATTAGCCCGTAATCCTGAATTCTGATACATAAAGTTAGCCTATTAATTTAAAACAGGTACGACTGTACTCAGTGTTGCATTATCAAATGCAATTGACGCGCCTCTATGCCAGGGTTTTAATGTTCCTGGTCAGGCTATAATGATGTACATTGTACACACAGTAAACCGTAAATGAAATTAAAGATTAATATTAGTACAATAATTACGTTCTAATGAGGGTTTTTGACAATCTGTCAATGTCATGTCAAAAATAACCAATCATGCAGCATTTGGACCTCGCGTCTACGTATTGCCATCTGGCGGATTTTTCAATCGCGAAAACCCTCATTGGAAATAAATGAGTGTGGTGGATCTACACTTCAGCATGCCTACTCCAAATGTATTTATTTGTGTAAGCATCCTTATCATCGATTTTAACGCTTCTAGGTGCCACACGCATACGTCAGCCCGGACGAAATGCAGCAGCGTCTCCCAGCACAAATGGCGTACGAGACGAACCAGGCCCGCGCGCTGGAGTACCCGCAGCAGCCGCAGCAGCAGCAGCCGCAGCAGCAGCCGCAGCAGCAGCAACAACAGCAGCAGCAGCATCAGCAGCAGCAACAGCAGCAGCAGCAGCAACAGCAGCAGCAGATGCAGCAACAACAGATGCAACACCAGCAGCTCCCGCCGCACAGCGGTGGGCGTCACCCTCACATGCAACAGTAAAGCTCCGACTGTTTTTACACAGGCACTTTGTTAAAGTTGCATTTTATGTACATTTTACACTTGTTTCCTGACCTTTGTTAAGCTTGTTATGCGAGTTGACATTTTTCATCGTTTTTGGACCATAAACAACGCAATGAAGTTTTAAATAAAAAAAATATAATGAAACTATCAGTTTCGATACGGCTTATCTACAATATTACATGATTATTTTTCTCTTTTCTTCCTATAGGACTTGAAGTACACTCAACATCAAATAAATCGCACCTTCCGCGACGCGAACTTTAAAGATTTTCTTCTGACACAATCATGGTGCCCCAACAATATTGGTGTTATTTGAAAGCCCAATAAATATCCTTAAAGAAAAACACATTTAATTTCTTAATAAATGATTAACATATACCATAAATGTGACTTGAAAAAAGACCTCACTTTGGGCTCACCTCTGGGATCAATTAGACCAATTTTTATGGTTATAAAACCAAATAATGATCCCACGTGTCCTCTTTAACAGATGGATAGCGATTAATCCCAAATTAACAGTTTTATTGCCATAAAAATTGGCTCAAGCGTAACTACCTATTTTTTGAAGAAGTGACTCTGGATCCTTCTAAAGACACATTTTTGAGGTAAAACCCTTTTCTTTAATGAAATGAAGTTTAGAACTAGGCTTTTAAATGGTGCCAATATTGGTGGGAAGTCGGGATGCATACTTTTGAAAGTGCTTGTCGCGGGAGGTGCGATTTATTTGATGTCGAGTGTAGTATTCGATTTTTGGCCACATCATACTTGCGGCAATTGCACAGGTAAGCCTTGTTTTTTTACATACCGCAGCTTACGCGCACCCTTATTGCTCGAAGTATTGATACTATTTGATACCAACAACGTCGAGTTTTTAATTCAAAGTGAAATATTGCAAGATAACATAATCTTTGTATCTCAATCGTATCTCTTTTCTTAGCGAAGGGAATCGGGGGTCTACCATTAGGAAAACAAATGAAGCTGACTGTAGTTAATTAATGCCAATATAGCGAATTTATGAGCCCGCACATTAATGTTTAAAAATAGAAAAAAAGTGTTATTCTCAACATCAAAAATGTTGCTGGATCCATTTTGTTAAAGTTGTCACGTAACGAACTACTATTAACCGTTGCATTACTATGGGAACCGCATGCGTTCGTCCAGCGATCAGCTAACGATTCTGGTCGCAGTGGCAATGGAGAAGTTTGATGTTAAAAAACATTATATTTCACTGAATGAGATTAAAATATAGACCAAAACTAAAAAGACGGTGAAGTTTTTTTTAAATCCATCAAGAAATTACTGAAAAATGTATTATTTAAATTACCATGGTGCCGTGGATTCACGCCACCCGTTCTAGTTTCAACCACAATGCTTAACACCCTGGCGCATTGTCGAGAATGACACTATAATGTCAAAGTCTTCTTCTTCTTTTTGTATATGGCCAGGTCCGGGGGTTGATTCACTGTTTGTACTCCAAATGAGTGCCGTGACGTCACCGATCAAATGGCGCGAAATATTTGTTATGCGCAACTTTGGGGCCCTGTAACTTGTAAAGATTCCTTCACAATTATTTTTGGTTTTACTTATATTTTCAAGTTTTATGAATAGAAAAAAATTGGAAACTTCTCCATCTACTAGTACAAGTAGTGCAGTGGTTAATGGTAGTTTAATATGATTAGCGCTAACACATACTATCCTTGCTTGTAATGCGCCTTCATGATATGACTACAGTAATTACCCTTTCATTTATATTAGTGATAAACGGGTAATATTATCCATTTATTAATGATAATTAAAATAATTCTTTGAAAACCAAAGCACTGATGTTGTGAATTTGGATATTATAAGTAATCCAAGCACATTTAAATGTTTTGAAGCTTTCGTATTTAATCTTGTAATTATAAATGTTTTTAAGAATAAATGTAATATAGAAGTATAAGCAGTCCTCTTATTGGTGACTACGTACAGTCGACGTCAAATAGTTAGTGACACAAAAGTAGCCAAAAAGTTAGCAACACACACGTCTTTGTTATAATAAAATTGGAATAAGATTGTGTTGTCAACTTTTTGGCCACTTTGAGTGTCACGGACTATTTGACGCTGACTGTACATACAAGGTGTAAGGGACAGGTTGACAAAGACTTGCAGTGATTGTAGAACATACTTAAACCAATAGTGTGTGCCGCGGAAAATGTAGATTTTCTCACTTTGGTAGTGATCTGAGTTCACTGTTTGAGTGTTTCCCAATCTATCCATTACACTGAGTATTTAATCATAAATCATGTAGAACAGATATTTATTAAGTTGGAATGAGCAATGGCTACTTTTTATTTAAGGCTGTGTAATTTCGTAACTTTACGGTTGACTGCTGAATGTGAATGTTTTAAATACATTTTACGTGTACAGGCAGCATCACTATTTAGGGTCAGTCTAATAAATAGGCAAACTAATGTAGCTGAATAACGAAAGGAAAATATTTATTTACGTGCTAAGACGCTACCTGGCTAAGTAAATGTGTGCCAAATACGGTGTCAAATTTGGATAAGATGATCAGGTATAGTTCGTTTCATCCACGAAGATGCGCGGTGTCGAGGGATGCGGGGAGTTTGATCCGACCAATCCGAGCAGCGTTGCTATTGGATAGTTGTGAGTGCGTGCGCAAACTATAATGATGACGCTCGGATTGGTCGGATCATGCTCGAATCGGAACTATAATATTCGAAAGTAGTCTTGTAGTTGTATGGCCATGGGATGACGAAAGACTCCTGTCTAGCAATATCGAGTATGTATTCTATTACACCTGCAAACAGTGATGCAGTTTGTTCCTCTTTTTTATCTTTGCCGTTTTATTATAATATATGTCATAGTTTAATTTATAAGCCTAAATGTCTATAGGTACTGGTCATAAGCCGTCTTTGTCTCGGTGCCACGCGAGTCGTTTAATTACATTTACGTATACTGGGTGGAAACGATAAGTGATCTCACTCGATTATTTCTAAAGTATACAAGATATCGAAAAACTGGTTATTGATCCTGAAAGTGCTTCACGCGATCTTTCAAAAAGTATCAATAATAGGTTACATAATATTAAACTGGATCTATCTGAAAATTCAATGTTTCCAGCATCCATACATTTGGTAAAGCCGTATAATATTAAAAACTACTCATGATATCGTAAAACTGGTTACTGATTTTAAAAGTGCTTCACAAGCTCTATCCAATGGTACCAATAATATGTTATAGAATAAACTGGATCTATCCAAAAATTTAATGTTTCCTTCTTCCATACATTTAGTACTCACTAAAACCAATGTTTTCCATAAATAATTTTAAATGAGAATGCAATTAACAAGTTTATAAGAGTTTATTATTTAATAATAAAAAATACACTTCTAATATTATGTGGTTGGCATACATTTAGTATGGAAGCTGGAAACATTGAATTTTCAGATAGATTCGGTTTATTCTGTAACCTACTATTGGTACCATTTGAAAGAGCTCTTGAATCACTTTCAGGATCAGTAACCAGTTTTTCGGTATCGTGTATAGTTTAGAAATAATCGAGTGAGATCACTTTTCGTTTCCACTCTGTAGATTCGAATTATTTAAGTGCCATCGATTTTTTGGACATAGTTTAATTGTATAATTTTCATTATTATAACATACATTTGATCTCGCTATTAAAAACCCAAATGTTTTACGCACATAAGTATATTGGATAGACAACGCAAGCAGTTAATTCTACTTTAAATACAGGTGTATATTTTATCCTAATCTCGATACAATCGAGATCACCTAAAACTGTTTACATTCATGAACGTAACCTCTTTTTAGTAGTCATTTAATTAACATTATGTAAAGATACCCCGTGGTCAGCAACTTTGGTGGCAGTTGCAGTTTGAAAAAGTATACATAATAATAATAACGATTTAAATAAATACATAAATCGGTTCTTAGCGAATATTTAGCCGTTTTGCGTATTATTTGTTTTCTTTTAATAAATATTAACGAACTTGCGTTGACTTCTTAATATGCCAGTGTTCGTAAGGAATTATTTTCATATGAATAGGCGTGACGACAGTATAAAAAATCGTCGATTTAATGACTTAGTGAAAATGAATATAAAAAAAATTTAAACACTAGTTAAGTTTTATTGAAAATACTGGCTTTTCGCCCGCGGTTTTCCCGGAAATTAATGCATCCTACTAATATTATAAATGCGAAAGTTTCTGGATATCAGGATGTCTGGATGTCAACATGTCAAAACCGACGCCATGACACTTGGGAGCTCTTTTTGCGCACTACTGAAAAAATATTAGAAAACTTGCCCTAAACTAAAGTTTATTACCGAAATATAGGTTTTTTCGTAAATAGTAAATGTGTGCCCATATTACGGAAAAGGATTTAAAAATCTTCGTCACGCCTATTTTATTAATATAATCTTCACCACATTACTAAATCTAAATTATTTTTCTTCCAGTTGTTAGTTTTCTCATATTTTTACCATGTTGTTTTGTTATTTGTGTTTTTGTTAGATTTTTATAAAGTATAAGTACACAATTATTAGCAAAATATTAATTATTTTGACATTAATTTTATGGTTTTTCAAAATTTTATTTAGAATGTTATATTGATTTATTATTACATATTGATTTAAGAGTTAAATAAATTGAGATCGTTTATCATGTTATTTCAATTTTATTGTATTTTACTGGTACCAATTTGTTATGCCTCTGTTTCAATTGGCTATAATTGCACATAATCATATTAACGTTAAAGATAATTTAATACTACAAATATTTTTAGCTTTTATTTTAACGAGTAAGTAGTACATAATTATTTTTAACTTTATGACCTTCTTTTGTTTACCAAAAACCTTTATTCATTTTATGGTGATATCTTGCTAGTGGCTGTGCTAGCGTTACTTAGCTGGTTTGTTACCTTGATTTTTGTAAATACCTGACTTAACATTTTCGAAACTATGTTTCTGAACTTTATTTTAAAACCTTTCAAAATAAAGCAGGCTATAAATTCACGTTTACTGCCGAGCGGGGAATTCTTTGTTTTATAAACTATTAGGTATATTGAGGATAGTGGAAGACTGGATAATTATTTCAAAAAGAATGCTCCATTCGTAAGCAAGTGGGTTCAAAGAACGTTCCACTGCTCCGAGCAAAGATTTGTGTATGCTACTAGACAAGCTTTTCAGAATAAAACAAAATTGTGGCACAATACGATCCCACATTCACTTTCTTTTCACCTTCCTTCTAATTTTGATAAACATGTTAAGGAAATGCGCCCGTAAATTCTGATCTTGTTTTATTGGTGTTGTTTGTAGAATGCACCTTCACGAGACCCGCAGCACAATCGCAGCAAATCTCTTTACGCTCGCTCGTTGTAGACTTAAGCAGTTAGTGATAATTAGCGGCCGCCCGCGACTTCGTACGCGTGGATCCCGTTTTACCCCCTTCATCTATCTTACGCGGTTTAGATTTTTTCATACAAATGTTTTTTCCTGTTAACTCCCGTTTCCGTGGGAATTTTGCAATATCCTGTTGTAACTAAGCTTTAAGTTTACTAAGGTACCTGCATACCAAATTTCAAGCGTCTAACTTAAGCGGTTTAGATTTTCATACAAAAGAATTTTCCCGCTAATTCCCGTTCCCGTGGGAAATTCGGGAATTCCTTTCTTAGTGCACCTCTACGGTACCTAAGCTACGTCCCTTCCAAATTTCAAGTGCCTACGTTTAGCCGTTTATGCTGTGCGTTGATATGTCAGTCAGTCAGTCAGTCAGTTTCTCCACTTAATATATTTAGATAACGAACTCAATGACCAATAAATTGTCTGCACAGTTCAGGAAAGCCTATCTAGTAGATAGAAGTATTTTGCTCTGAGTAGTGTTTGTCGCCGCTGTTAGCTGCACAGGTGCGACAAATATGATAATAGAGATAAGTCACATAAAATAATTTAAATTTTCTCAACTCACATTGCCATATTCATAACATTATAATATAGATTTAGATAACACTAAGCATTCTTTGTTAAAAGTTAAAATGATTTTTAATAATTAAACTGATGTATACAATTATAGGATTTAATTATGTTTGGCAGTATGCCGCTACTTTGTCACACTAAGCCTAGGCGCTGACTACAGACTCTTAGTCGGCCGATAGTTGGACCCGATTCTAATTTGTATGAAGAATCGGCCGATTCAATGTGCGTACTTTCATACATCTCCATACTGATTAACAGCCCGACTTAACTATCGGCCAACTAAAAGTCGGTGGTCTGCGCCTAGGCTTAGGGCTGATTTTTCTAACGTCAAAGTGATGACGTGACAGTATTTGTATACTATTTATGTAAATTTTATTCTTAAAACATTTTATGGCGTTGAAAATTGGTCATCACATGCAGTAGCGGCGTAAGGGGGGGGCGGTGGGGGCGGTCCGCCCCGGGTGCCAAGCATCAGGGGGTGACAGAGTCGCGCAGATTAGTACTCACTGACGCATCTGCATGGCAAGGACGGTCGTGATGTCATGACAGGGGGGGTGCCANGGGGGGGGGGGGGTGCCGCCCCGGGTGCCAACCTATGCTACGCCGCCACTGATCACATGGTAACTGATGTATTGTTGTTTACTTGCCATAACTATGTAGGATGTCTGTGGGAATGATTGGTACTTGCGCGCAGAGTATGCTATCAAATAGCTGCCCATGGTGTGCGAGATAGTGATAGTAAGGATGCCTTTAAGTTAGTAAATGTGTCGCGCGACCGCAGCACTGCTGACACTGCTGTCAATATAGTTTAGTTTTTAAAATCAATGATATTGCGCAGGTAACGTATTTAATTTACATAAATTAAATAAATACTTCGTCAGAAGAACTCATCGTAAAGTTAAAGGTGAACGCGCACCAGTCCGCGCCGCTGACATCGCACTTTATAAATATTTATATGGAATAGTATAGATCATCGCGCACCTATCCGCACCGAACGCGCCGCATTTTCCTAAAATGCTGTAGGTGTACTGATTCCACAAGCTGGGTGCGGATGACGTCATGAAATTCGGCGCGTTCGATGCGGGCGGCGGTATGAGAAAATGCGGTGACTGCGGCGCGTGCGCGTACCTATGGAGAGTGCAGCGCATACGATGCGGGCAAGTGCGCGAGGCCATGAGAAAATGCGATGACTGCGGCGCGGACAGGTGCGCGTCCACCTTAATACGACACCAGCCGCGCGGCTCATTGATTCACGTCTGAAGGCACCCTTAGATCAACAGTAAATTGAAAAGATATCACTTGCATACTTATATTTTTATAATTAAAAATTCTAAATAGGTTACCATTGATATTATTTAGACGAATAACTTTATCTATGCTTTATTTTTGATATATAAGTATCATTTACTGATGAAAAATGCCTAGTGTAAATTTTTTGACTAGATTTTAATTAAGTGTATTATGATACCCTCTGAAACTGAGCATATTGTTTCATTGGAGGAATACCATCATCTGATTTTCTTCGGAAAATTATTACATAATTATTGATATATCAATATGCTCAGTATAAACAAATTAGCACCTAGTAATTAAGTAAGTATTTATCTTGTGTGGATGGACAGGGTAGCCGAATTCGATAAATTAGAAGTGATATTGTGAGTAGAAATGTTAATGCAATCTTGTGACTTTTAATGGAATGATGAGTAAATAAAACGATGGTACCACAGCTATTGACTATTTATTTACTTGATTTTAATAACAGTTCTTTTATACTCTACCTACCTACTCAGCTTACATAACACAGTATTATTTTTATATGTAGTAGATCAAATAATTATAATAAAAAATATCTTTTATTCTAAAATGCAGTTGTACCTACCTACTAAAACGGAATAAATAAGTGTATGCAAGGTAAACTTAATAAACGATTAACATATACCATAAAATATGTGACTTGGAAAAAGTCCTCACTTGGGGCTCACCTCAGGGACCAATTAGACCAATTTTTATGGTTATAAAACCAAATAATGATCTCACGTGTCCTCTTGAACAGATGGATAGCGATTAATCCCAATTTAACAGTTTTATAGCCATAAAAGTTGGCTCAAGCGTAACTATTTTTTAAGAAGTGACTGGGTCCTTCTGAAGACACATTTTTAGGGTTCCGTAGCCAAATGGCAAAAAACGGAACTCTTATCGATTCATGTCTGTCTGTCCGTCCGTCCGTCTGTCTGTCCGTCCGTATATCACAGCCATTTTTTTCCGAAACTATAAGAGCTTATACTGTTGAAACTTGGTAAGTAGATGTATTCTGTGAACCGCATTAAGATTTTGATGCAAAAATAAAAAATTATAATAAATATTGGGGGCTCCCCGTACCTACTTAGAACTGAAACTCAAAAAATTTTTTTTCGTCAAACACATACGTGTGCGGTATCTATGGATAGGTCTTCAAAAATGATATCGAGGTTTCTAAAATACTTTTTTTCTAAACCGAATAGTTTGCGTGACAGACGCTTCCAAAGTGGAAAAATTATAAGGAGGTATTATCTACTAAAGTGTCTAGTTTAGTCATTATTATTATAAACTAGCGGCCGCCCGCGACTTCGTACGCGTTTATCCCGTTTTACCCCCTTCATCTATCTTACGCGGTTTAGATTTTTTCATACAAATGTTTTTTTCCCGCTAACTCCCGTTCCCGTGGGAATTTTGCAATATCCTGTTGTAACTAAGCTTTAAGTTTTCTAAGGTACCTGCATGCCAAATTTCAAGCGTCTAACTTAAGCGGTTTAGATTTTTCATACAAAAGGATTTTCCCGCTAATTCCCGTTCCCGTGGGAATTTCTAAGTATAATATAACCTGCCCAGGAGTATGAAGAATAATTGTACCAAGTTTCGTTAAAATCCGTCAAGTAGTTTTTGTTTCTATAAGGAACATACAGACAGACAAAAATTTTACTGATTGCATTTTTGGCATCCAGTATCGATCACTAATCACCCCCTGATAGTTATTTTGAAAATATATTTCATGTACAGAATTGACCTTGACACAGATTTATTATAAGTATAGATAGATAAATGGTTTGCAATAAATATCATAGTTGAATATTTTGGAGTCAAATTGTCACAGTGGTAGTCTTGTCGCAGGGGTCGAGTTTTCGTAGGATCGAGCATCGTTTGAAGTAGGTTAAAATTAATTTAATCGAGTTGTCGCAGGGGTTCAGTTGTCATCGGGGTCGAACTGTCGTAGGGTCCAGCAGTCGTGATACCGTTTGAAGTAAGTCAAAAGTGTTGAGTGTTGAAAAAATCGAGTTGTCACAGGGGTCGGGTTGTCGCAGGAGTCGATTTGTCCCGAGATCGAGCTGTCGTGATACCATTTTAAGTTGGTAAAAGTGATTTAATGTGTATTTTTTGAGGTTTAGTTATGATTTTTTATTTTTGTCATAACTTTTTTCTGAGACTTAACAGACTTGATAATAATAAAATTATAGTATTAGCATGACGTAGGGTAAACCGTATAGCTATTGCCCACTTAAAGATTTCAAACACTTTGACATGCAAAATTAAAGAAAGTATTTTAATTGTCGACCATTTATAACTTTTTTCTTATAACCCAATAAACTGTTAAACAGAATATTAACAGTTTTTAGTTAAAACTTACATAACTTAGAAAATATTGAAATACATTTAAAATCCTCCAAAAAGTACAGTCATTGCCCACTACTTACACTAATTGCCCACATCAAAGCACAGTAATTGCCCATTATCNGCGAAAACAGGATAATTCAGATCGAACTTCACTTGGTAAGTTCGTTTGATCATCTAATAATGCCCGATTGTTCTTTGAGACCTTTTAAGCAAAATAACGTAGTTACTGTATCTGTTGAAATTGTTGTTTTATAGAATTGCAGTAGGTAATTATCGATATTTTTTTCCATAATTATCGTTTTTACAAATGGACCGATTAAGACCGGTAAAAAACCGATTATCGTATTGCGCACCCTACCCTACACTACTTCAGTAGCCCTATCCCTATTATTAAGCCAGATACTCAATAGTGAGCTGTAACCGTAACCGTTGTATGCATTGTAACCAAAAAACATAGTGTGTACCTACGTTATTAGGCAATCCACGTACATACTCTGTTTTTTGGTTACAGAGGATGTAATGGTAACGGTTATATTACCTACAGCTCGCTAATGAGTACCCGGCTTTACTGATCTGTGCCGGTGCCGACAGGCGCGGCGGCGCGTCTCTGGGCGCGACCGGAGAAAAATCAATAAATCACTTGGAGCAATCTCACGGACTCAGCAACAACAAAATACCTGATATTCTGAAAATGTAAGTAATCCTGCTGAAATGTTTATTGAGACATGTTTTAATTTGTAGAAAACTTAAATCAGCACGCTTATTCCTTTTCTATTCGAGTGTTTTTAATTTTTTTGTATGTATTAGGTATGTTACGCGTAGAACTCCGATTTCCAAATATTTTTTTGTTCGATAGGGTATACTCTCGAGGTGGTCCCATTGTCACCAAGTCAGGGTCTGATAATGGGATCCTAGGGAAATCGAGGGCAACTCTCAAATATAGGCACGTATATCGTTTATCATGTTTTTTCTTAATAGTCCAGTCATTTGGTATAAATTAACGTTAATAGAGTTTTGAAAATTGGTATTTTTATAGGTTTTGATGTTCTTTAGGAATTTCAACTTTGCGACTCCGTATGGTTGCCACAAAAACTAATTTCTTTACCACCATATGGAAGATTAAGCGACGCGTTAATTTTTATTCTTCAGCATCTAGGCACCCGGCAGCGTGTTCTGCCACGATCAAAGAAAAAAGAACTCATAAGTAATTTTTAGCAGTTGTGTGTAGAATTATACAAACCATTTCGAGCTACTTTTGACCCCTTGGTGGTGGACATTTCCCTCACGCGACCAAAGCCAGTCTTCTGTTGAGTTTTAGCCGATGGGGCTTTGTCGCTGTGCTTTTTCTTTTTCCCACGTTTTGCCACTGACCAGCATCGTCCATGGACGCTGGCGGCGGTGGCAAGGGCGGGAGCTATTTGGATAGGCGCGGAGGCAAATGAAGCATTGCCCTGTGTTTTTCGAGCGCGGCACTTTGATGTAGGTGGCAGATTTGAGGCAGGAGCCACGGCCGCTGAGGAGGGCTCAGCAGCAGGGGACTGTGCAGGCAGGCGCCGTCTTGGGGCCGGAACGCACTTTGGCACGACTAGTTTTCGCTGATGGAGCTGTTGTCGTCTCCGCTAGAGTGGCAGAGCCACTGTCCGTGTGGTAGGGCCAGTGGAGGCACCTTAAGGCACCCTATAGCAACCTGTATCTGTCATGACCGAGCTTTTTGTTTTAAATTTGCATTTTTTTGTTTAGTGTGAACTTTCTTACGGATATTAAATTAATTTTGTAGTTAGTAAGTAGGTACCTGGCTCTGGCCAGGGTGGGGCACTTGCCACCGTGGCTACGCCCATGCATGAAATTCTATCTATACTTGTCCAGAACCCAAAATTGGATAAATTTGTAGCGTCAATAGGTAATATCAATAACTGCTTGAGCTACATTTATGAAATTTTGGATTCTGGACAAGTAAGTAAAGATGGTTTAACAAATGTGCCGAATTTCATGCATGTAGGCTAAATAGGTTTTGAATAAATTGTGTAGGGGTCAAAAGTAGCTCGAAATGTTAGGCGTGACGACAGTATCAAAAAATCGACGATTTAACGACTTTTGGGGAAAATTAATATATATATTTTTAAACATTTAGATTAATTAGATTTTCAATCATTAAAATATTACAATACTACAATCGGCCATTTTGACTGAAACACTAATCTCTGCGCATGACGTCAAGTTTTACTAGGGATGAGGTCCTATAAATATCGCGTTGGTACGCATTTTTCTACAGGTACTATTAGACAATACGTAATTCGAGGCGGGCGTGACGAAATATTTTGAAATCATCTTTCGTAATTTGAATACACTATTTCGGTAATAAACTTAAGTTTAACTTGTGTTTTCCTAATTTATTTTCAATAGAGCTCAAAAACAGTCTTTTACTCGACAAATGGCAACGCACAATCCTTTTGATTACATCGAAGTTGGTTGAATCTAGGGAGTAAAGATATACCAACATAGGTAGGTATAAGTAGAAAATTTAGGTACTTACAAGGAAATTTTGACATTTCGAGACTCGGACGAGCAAAATTCTTTGTTTGTCGCGAGGATAACGCCCAATATTATTATATCGATCCTAGGCAAAATGGCAATGCCAGATTTTGTATGGAAGGTGGCACATTTTTTTTTCGCGCGGCCATCGACCAACCCTTCTTTTTTATATTACAAAATAGTATAATAAACGATACTTATTATGACATGTATGTTACCCTAAACTCAGTCTGAACCGAGTTACGAGCGTTAGAAGTTTGATGATTTTACATCTAGATTTATATGAAACTTAGTCGTTTGCGTGCAAGTTTTGTAAGAAATTGCAACAAAATAGTGATATTGTAGGTGGGCACTTCTTCGAAATTGCATTCTTCGGCTGATTCATATGGACAAAAATCAATTTCAATTTTAGGTCTGTAACATAGACTCTTAGGAAAATAGGTACACCCAATTATATTTGGATGAGGGACTCGTTTTTGTAAAGTAGTTTTCAAGATATCAACATTTAATAATGACCGGATGGCAGCGGCCCGCATCCAGCGCCTTTCTGCCTTAAGGTCATACCTTTATGAAGTCGTCGGTCCACCGTTGTGGGTGGACGTTCTACACTGAGCTTACTATCCCATCGGCCATTAGTTGTGTATACTATCTATGTGTACTGCCCATTATCACTTCAGCTTGCTAACTAATTCATTGGACTATGCCTCCATGCAACTTTAGATCGTTTACGGATCTTCTCATTTCAGATTTGATTGCATAAAAAACACTAAGCATAGTCAACTTTGAGGTTCGTAAGCCTATAATCAGAGGCCACTTTTCAGTACAATATGTACGTAACTGGTAACACACACTGGATGTAGACTTTCATCTTATGACACTCAGATGTATTTTAGATGACTCGACCCAGCAGTAAGGTAAGTGCCCCCTACTTCGGTATATTAAGGCTCTTACGACTTTAACATTTTATTTAAAAATAACCAAGCATGATATTAGTATGAAAGCTTTTGTATGCTAAACTTTGGTCTTTTGACAGTAAGTTAATACATAATTTATAGTTATATAGTTTGAACTTTTTTTTATATCAATTATTCTCCTGACCTCTAGTTTGGATCCTGTTTCGTGATAAAATTTTGCTCTGTTTCTAAGTTCGTGAACTCATGTCCCCTATTTCGGGATAAGGTTTTATGCATCCAGTTAGGATATTTTAATAATGATTAAGGGTTTAATAAATTTAAAAACGATAATAAAAAATTAGAATAAATTAATTATGTGAAATTGTCGATATTACTTACCTGAAATATTCATAAGAAATAATGTGAGTCTAGTATAATACAATTTTGATTTGTTATTTGTAACAATAAGTGAAAATATTTATATTCATTATTTGTTTCATAACTTACATTTCAATTATCATAAATAATTATTTAAAAACCAAGCATCAAAATATTATCCATAATATCCTTGATTCGGTAGTATCACGAAACAGGGGACACCCGAAAAATAATATGTACGCTATTTCGTGAGTCAATTAATCGCAATTTTAAAGGAATTCTACGTTTTCATATAACTTTTTTCTAAGCCAAATCAATTGTCAAGGAACACATGAAACCACTATTACAAGTTTTATGCAAATGGACGTTTCTTCGCCTTTTTATAAGCTTAAGAAGTTGGAGCGCTAACCTTACGGTGAGAGCAACATTTTCACGCCGCACGGCTGTTTTTGGCTCTCTGAGAGTTTGAAGCTTCGTATTGCTCTCATTTTTGGCGCCACAATGTTGGTACTTGGTTTTTTAGATAGCTTAAATAATAGAGTTTTTATAGTAATAAAGAATTTTTATAAATAATATTCCATTTGCTTATTATTTGAGCTAGAAAAAAAACTTACGAACTTACGTACTATCACGAACTAGTAGCCGTTTACCTTATCACTTATCCAAGCTATCGTTGTTGAGACGTCCACCCACAAGGCGAAGAGTGAGCTTATAGAGGTTGGGGCCCTGGCAATCTGTTAATCTCGAAATCATTGGAGGCCTATGCTCAGCAGTATTTGCTATGGACGCCTTATGTTTGGCTAAAATAATAACAAAAATAAATAATCTTTGGGCAATTTCATACAGCGCTATCTAGCCACAAAATAAGCAACAAATATGCTTGCTAGCTTAGATCCTACTACTTATATACTGTTTAGAATCTAATGTAACTCCCAAGAATGTTGTTGAGTTTACTGCATCTATACGATCATCTACCATAAAACATGAGTGCTGACCTGCCTTTAAAACGCTTTTATTAGGTCGACCTGTATGTAACTATGTAATGGAATCTAAGAATCTGAATTACACGCACGCACTTCTAATTCTTACAATTATTGTAGATCAGATTAGATGACAATACAATATTATGGTACCAGCGATTTGGTCTGATGATGGTACTGGAAGGTGACCATAGGAATTCCTGTGTATTTAACTAACTGCGTAATGGTGTTGGACTCTGTACAGCTCTATCTGTATAATAGATCTCGGATTGACAGCGGCAGCATCCGTTTCAGCCCAGAGACTCACTCTCCATCTTGGTCATGTACCACTGCACAATTTATTGTATTGTCAAATTTAGAAAGACAAATAAAACAAGTATTGGTAGTACAATGCAAGGTTTTATTGGAAGTCCTTTTCCCTGTACACATACATAACAATGGAATCTCATCATCATGAATCATGAAACTTGACAAATATTAATTAGAATAAATGATAATATGTACAATAAGTATAATATAACTGGTCTGATGATGGGACTGGAAGGTGGCCATAGGAATTCCTAAACGAAACGGCGGAATTGCATCGACTTTGGGATGTTTCCTCTCAAGCACATTAATAGTGCTTAGATGACCCTGTATAGGTACATCAATAACTATACGCGTAACCGTAGTACTTATTATTATTCTGTGGCGTAACTTTAAACGTTAAATATTTCCTTGTTTTAGCTAGGAAATAGAAGCTAACACACGATGGATATTACGGAATTGAAGGCCTTGTTGCGATCGCTGGTGGAGATGGAGTTGAGGCAGACGCAGCACGACGCGAGGTCACTGCTGCGCTGCTACCACGCCATGACGGGCAAGCGGCTGCCGCTCGCCAAACATGGATACAACGACCCCGTCTTGTTCCTGAGAGAAATGTTCAGTGATTGCTTTGAGGTAAGATTACATTTCAATCTATCATATCAACTTTTGGGTTCGTTTTCGAACATAGACTTCTGTTCTACGCCACTTGCATCCACATAATCCTAGCCTGCTTCCCGGGTTCCGGGTCCCGCTTCGACATCTGTTCATATTTTAGGGGTCTTCCTCTGCTGTGGTTGTCACTGGGAGGTCTCCACTCATCTTAAGGTTTTTTTGGCCCTGCAAGGTTCATCCGTGCAATGTGTCCTGCCCATCAATCTGCTCATTTATTGCCTCTAGGCGGAACGAATTTTATCCCAAAAAGCACTCGTATCCAAAAAAACTGTTATTGCATGTGTTTCCAAATTCATAAAAAGCTTTCAAAGAACCGTTCTTTAATATCTTGAGGACGATCCTCTAACCATTAGTTATATCATATCCAATCTACTATATAAAAATAAGTCGGGTTTTCCTTCCTGACGCTATAACTCCAGAACGCACGAACCGATTTCCACGGTTTTGCATTCGTTGGAAAGGTCTCGGGCTCCGTGAGGTTTATAAGATATATAATGTAGTCCGGCGGAAAGCTAGTACACCTATAATTATCTTCTATAACTTGTGTATCATAAATTCTTAATGTATTGTTTGTATAACTTGCTTAATTATGTTTACTATTAATACTTAATGTATTGTTTAAATAAAGTCTCAGGACGTCCTGTGATACCTATAATTCTACATCGACACAAGTCACATCACATGAACCCTGCAATAATTCGCATACAGCTGAAAATTGGTACGAATGTTCGGAGCACCATTATGAATTAACTGTGAAAAGTCCCCATCGATCCGACGTGTGCTAAAAAAAATTCAAGGTCAAACTTAAAAAATACGGGTTTTTGAGATTTTCAGCCAAACGGTAAGTTTTATCACAAAAAAATGTACGACAAGGTATAAGACCATACATTTATCTATCAAAATTGTCTATACACTTTCTCCTAAGAGTCAGCGTTTCTGAGATTCGATGATCGGAAGAGTCAAAAAAGTGTTTTCTTCATAACGGTCTTACACATAAATACAATGTGATATCGCCTCGTGCCACGACTCAGCATTGTATCATGATGTGTTGTCGACGTCGAATATAAAATAATCAACCTCAATGTCGTCTGTCATCTTTAATTATCGAAAAATGGGTGCAACTTTGACGAAGGACTGCACCGTAAGTTTTCAAGATACGAAGTTTTCGTGTCTATTATGTAAGAGCTCTTATATGCACACGTCACTACTCTACTTGTAACTCTATGGTCACTCTTTTAGCCCGACCAAGTTAGACAGTCCAGGTTATAATAATTCACATAGAGCTGAAAATTTGTATGAATGTTAAGAACACCATCCTAAATGAAATGTCAAAAGTCCCCGACGATCCGTCATTTAAAAAAAAAGTTTTCGAAGTCCCAAGTTTTTTGCATTTTTTGGCCAAGTAGTAAATTTATCATAAAAATAGATAAGAAAAACTAGTAGATCATAAAATTATCTATTAAAATTGTCTTTACCCCTTTTTCCTAAGAGTAACCGATTATGAGGTAGAACGATTCAAAAAGTTAGTTTTGATGTTCTCGTTATATGCACATGTTTCCACAACACCTATGAGGGTTATTTGGCGTATTTTTTTACCAGGTTTCCCCAGTAGGCCTTTTTAAAGATGTATTTGTTATCCTGTTCAATTCAAAACTATTTTAATAGAGTTGAAGTTGTGGACTTTTTTGGAGTAGTTAACAGAATGCGAATTCTCCAACTTTTTGCATCGTTACCACATAAACGGTGACTCTTAGGAAAAAGGGGCAAAGACAATTTTAATAGATAATTTTATGATCTACTACTATTTCTTATCATTTCTTATGATAAGTTTACTGTTTGGCGGAAAAATGCAAAAAACTTGGACTTCGTAAATTTTTTTTTCAAATGACGGATCGCTGGGGACTTTTGACATTTCATTAAGGATGGTGTTCTCAACAATCACACAAATTTTCAGCTCTATGCGAATTATTATAACCTGGATTTTCTGACTTGACCGGGCTAAAAGAGTGACCATAGAGTTACAAGTAGAGTAGTGACGTGTGCATATAAGAGCTCTTAAACATAATAGACACGAAAACTTCGTATCTTAGAAACTCACGGTGCAGTCCTTCGTCTAAGTTGCAAACATTTTTCGACAATTAAAGATGACAAATGACATTGAGGTTGATTATTTTATATTCGACGTCGACAACACATCATGATACAATGCTGAGTCGTGGCACGAGGCGATATCACATTGGATTTATGTGTAAGACCGTTATGAAGAAAACACTTTTTTGACTCTTCGGATCATCGAATCTCAGAAACGCTGACTCTTAGGAGAAAGTGTATAGACAATTTCGATAGATAATTGTATGGTCTTAAACCTTGTCATACATATTTTTGTGATAAAACTTACCGTTTGGCTGAAAATCTCAAAAACCCGTATTTTTTAAGTTTGACCTCGAATTTTTTTTTAGCACACGTCGATGGGGTCTTTTCACAGTTAATTCATAATGGTGCTCCGAACATTCGTACCAATTTTCAGCTGTATGCGAATTATTGCAGGGTTCATGTCTAATTTGACTGGACTATTAATCAGTGTTCAAATCAATAAATCTTTTATTTTTAAAAGTGTTTTCAAACTTACCGTATAACACTTTGTCCGAACCGCCGAGGCGAAGGTAGGTACGCAAAGTGAAGTAGGTACAGTCGAGATCATAAATATATTGGCAGTGCCTAATGTTTTAAAATATTGTAGCATAGTAGCGTAGTCAATACTGCGCTACCGCAGCATTTTATTACTGTTTGAGTTTGTATTGAAATATTATACCATTGTGAAAAAGCAAAAAATATTTTTAAACATTGGCACTGCCAATATATTGATGAACTCGACTGTACTATCGGTAACAGTGTTAATTGCCCATTGCCGGTCATGTCGTCTAGTTCTATCGCAAATCACCATTGATGAGAGCGAGAGCAAAAACGGAAATTTACAGAGAAGCTTTCTTGCGTATTATTGCGTAATATTTACCAAATATATTAATTTAATCTTCAGTTTGTCCTTGGACATGAGCCAGCTCCTCAAAATATCTTCATGCTTCTCCGTTTGTTGTGGCGGTTTGTCTTATATTACGAATGTCATCCTCACATCTCGTCATCCTCCCAATTCCCATCTTTTTGTCTGTCTACCTCTATTCCTTTTCCCTTCCCGGTTAAATGTACCTATAGATTACAGACTAAGGTATATTATGCCATTGAGTGATTTGTATTTTAGTAAAAGTATAAAATTGAACTAGGAATTTAATAAGATATCTTAGGTTGTTATTAAATAATAATTTAAGTATGTATAATAAAAACTATTTTCAGTTTCACGGGCCAGAGGATAATCCAGTAATAACATTGAAATTAACAACAAATGTAAGATTGTAAGTGTAATTTTTATAATTATTCTTATTATTGCCTAATACCATCGCACCTCATGTTTGCACGCATTTACTAATTGTGTATAGTATCACTTATAAATAACACGATAACTTTTTAGCAAAGAGCAAAGACGTAGTATACCAGATCACCACCAATCAGTAAGTGACAGTGCAGAAGAAAATGGTAAGTATATTTTTTATTAATCCTTATTCAAATAAATTTAATTTTTATCAAATTGTTCTTGCAATTATTTTAATTATGTCAATGAATATACAGGGTGTTAGGTAAATGGGTATATGAGCCGACACTAGCCCATGTTAACATGGGCATATAAATGGTATGGTGAAGTCAGAAATTTGATATCATTATTTTATTTTTTTAAATTTTCATACAAAATAAATTTTATAAAATCCGATTTGTATGAAAATTAAAATAATTAAAATGAAGATATTAATTTTCTGACTTCACCATACCATTTATATGCCCATGTTAACATGGGCTAGTGTCGGCTCATATACCCATTTACCTAACACCCTGTATATAACATGGGCATATAAATGGTATGGTGAAGTCAGAAATTTGATATCATTATTTTATTTTTTTAAATTTTCATACAAAATAAATTTTATAAAATCCGATTTGTATGAAAATTAAAATAATTAAAATGAAGATATTAATTTTCTGACTTCACCATACCATTTATATGCCCATGTTAACATGGGCTAGTGTCGGCTCATATACCCATTTACCTAACACCCTGTATACACGATGTTACTTTGCATTCTTGCCATATATTTTACAGAATCAGTAAGAAAATAATGCTCTAAAATGTTGTTTTCTAATCTTCAGTCGATTTTATTTTATCGACAATCAGTTAAACATTTAACGCATGCACGTCACTTGTTGGCGATGGCGACTTGCAAGGGATGTTATGGATAAATGTAGTTTCGGTTATGGATACGGTTACGGATATAGGAATAATATTATACCGGTTTCGGTTACGGTTAGTTAGGTACGGATATTTTTTTATTTCGGATACCTGAAAGTTTCGGTTACGGTTACGGATATCTGTGCTTTAAAATGCAATTTGCAATAGTTGTCCAACACGGTTCATTCATGGCCGCACACTTTACATCGAATAAAAAGTATTTAAAAATTATACATATACGAGTACTAGATGGCATTATAAAGGGAAATCAGGCTGTTATGCCTTTACATAATATTATGCTATACAAAAACAATTTAAACTGCTTACATCCGAAACTATCCAAAACTTTTTAATTGGTTACGGTTACGGTTTCGGATATTTTTTTATTTCGGATATCCGAAAGTTTTGGTTACGGTTATGGATATCCATAACATCCCTGGTTTGCAGACATCCGTTTTTTCACTGGACGAGACGGACCATCAAAAAACGGATATGCTTTGTTTGCTGTAAATATCGCCGGACCTATGTCCGATAGGGATGTTATGGATATGTAGTTTCGGTTAAGGATACGGTTACGGATATTTTTTTTTTATTTCGGATATCCGCAATGCAATTTGCAATCGTTGTCCAACACGGTTCATTCATGGCTGCAGTGCACTTTACATCGAATAAAACGTAATAAAAAAATAAAAATTGATACTAGATGGCATTATAAAGCCAAGGTAAATCAGGCTGTTATGCCTTTACATATGTATAATGCTTTACAAAAGAACTTCATCCGAAACTATCCGAAACTTTTGAATCGGTTACGGTTAGGGATATTTTTTATTTCGGATATCCGAAAGTTTCGGTTACGGTTACGGATATCCTTAACATCCCTGGTCCGATGCATATGCTGAACTGATTAGTAAATTGTTGTCGAAATAAGTACGTGTATAGATAATAAAACTTAGATCAAATTAATATAACTTTAAATAATAATAGGTGTATTTTTATTCCGTAGTGAATTATAATTGCTCTTTCTTATTCAGGTGGCATTTAAAAAAAAATACTTATGCCCGATTTCACCATCAATTTTTAAGTGACCACTATGGTAACACTTAACAGGAATTTTGTTTTCATTTAGGTTTCAGGGTCACTTAAAAATTAGGGATTGATAGTGAAAACGGGCATTTTAAGAAGTCTTCTCATTTCCTCGTATCTTAGTTATAAAATTAAAGATTAGTTTCCGTGTCTTAAGGACAAAACATTTGAGACATGACTTATCATTAGTAATAATTACCCTTTTTCGGGTTCCGTAGTCCTGACAAGGAACCCTTATAGTTTCGATTTCTGTCTGTCTGTCCGAGGTTTTGCTTGGAAAATGTTGGCACTAGAGAGCTGTAATTTTGTGGAGGTATGTACTTATATTAATCACGCTGATAAAACGGTAAAATAAAATTATGATTTTTTTTTTCATCTTCTACCCCATCGTGTGGGACATCGTTGGATAGGTCTTTTAAAATGGCTTAGGGGTTTCTAAGACTATTTTCCATAGGGATCTGTTTGCAAATTATAAAAGTGCCAATTTTTGTTCGAGTAGGGCGTCCTCTAAAATCTAAACTGTTGGCTTGAAAAATTCACAATAATACTGCTTTTCATGAACTTTCAAGGAAAACTATAACCGTTTAGATTAGATACATCAGTAGTCATTTAACTCATGTATTATAAAATTTCTTAAATTAACAAAAATCCCTTAGAAGAAAATATTAAAGTGACTTTAGATGAAGTAATTGTTTGCTTTTGAAAATGTATATTGTGTTAACGACGGACAACAACGGAACTCTACACTGCGCGTGGCACGACCCGCACTTGGCAATTTTTTTTAAATAACACCACAACAAAATAGTGATATCAAAACCGAATCTTCGGATTCGGTAAAAAAAAAGTTTCGGTCGGAACTTAAAAGCTTACCTAGAATATTTAGACACTACCTACTTACTTATTTCGTTCGTTTATTACCTATTCATGTTAATACATTATTTTTAGCTTCAATGGACAGAGCAGAATTAGAAGAATTAAAGACAAATATAAGAAATCTTGTGGATGAACTACACCCTGAAGGTGTCTGGTGCTCTGATTTGATGGTATTATACAGGTACGTTTCAGGGGACTACTTTCCCTAAGTTTCAGGAGGGGGGCAGGCGTTTGGACGGGGGTTGCAAAACTATAGGGGGTTTTGCGGGTTGGGGAGGTGCAGGACACTTCGGGCCAGAAGTTGCAACAGGGGGCAAGGAGAGGCTGGCGATTGGAGGGTGGGGCTGGTTAGAGAGGGCTCTGGAACGGTAGGGGTGGTGGACTGATATCCTACGGGGGAAGTCGGAAGACTTTGTACCAGAAGTTTCAGCGGGGAAAGGGTAAAACACAATTACTTAATCATGATTATGATATAATTATGAGTATTTTAACGTTATCCTATGATTGATTTAAATATAAAGCCATTTAAATAAATTACTCAGTGATTATTATTGATTTTATTCGTGATTATTTTAATCAAATAAATTGATTAGTGCGAACACAAGTTATGCACTATAACATAATAGATGTTATTTAAAATCAAATTAGGTAATTACGTGGACTTACAATAACTCGACTAAGTATATTATATGTATTGTATTTATCAAGGCCACACATTTCCAGTGCAGTGGCACTGCAGCACTGTTGCGTAGTGGCGGATTTACACTATGCGTGGAATTGATCGAACCGAAACGCGAATATTAAGTATTGGCACAGTATTGGCGACTCCCGGCGAAACGAACTGAATTACACTATCTGATTCGATCAATTTCGCGCATAGTGTAACTGCATCTGGTAACGATGGTTCTGATCGTTCTGCCGCTTCTGCAGACAACGGTACGGGCAAGAGCTGGACTTCAAACGCTTCGGATACCCGGACATCGAGGCCCTGGCGTTAGAGCTTGACTGGCATCATGAATTTCGCGAGAAACGCTGGCGGCTGAAAGTGCGACGCTTACTCAGCGTGGAGTGCGCCAGGCCTCCGACCCCCCCATTCGACCCCGACGACGCGCTGCCCGGTATCCCCTATGTAAGTCCAACAGTTGCTGTATCGACAATCAATTTTTAAGTACTAATCAAGAGTATGTTTTTTTTATCCACAACGAAGAAGCTGGCCTGCGTCTCACCTAATGTAATCTAACTACTACGTGTGATATATCATTGGGAAGAAGAGAAGCTAGAGATGTTTTTAAGATCATTGACAATCCATTATACCTTTAATTTTTTTTAAATCGAATTCTAAGTTGAATTTTTTATCGTTAATTCGTCCAAAATAAAGACGGAAGAAAAGGCCAATAATGTGATTTTCAAAGAGTGATATCTCGGGGAATAGTTAATAAGCGAAGCGAAGTAATATTTATTTACTAATGTGTCTATAATAAAGAGGTCTTCGAAATGCCATAATAAACATACGGAATGCCTATTTAGAACTTAAAAGATGTACGTGTCCGTGGCGCAGGATCGTAGCGTGTTTCCGGAGGATTGCATGGGGATGACGGAGGTCATCCCTTCCGAGCCGCTGGACTCGCTGGCCAGCGGCACCTCGGTGCGAGTGGTGGTGGGCGAGGTGTACTCACCCTCGCACTTCTGGCTGCAACGCCTGGGCGAGCAGTTCCAGGAGGCCCTGAGCGAGATGATGGATGACATGACGTGAGTACACTGGCCGCCGGCGCCATGCTGCAGGCGGCGAGGAGCGAGGTGTACTCTCCCTCGCACTTCTGGCTGTACCTACCGCCTGGATTTTTTTGATATTTTTGATAATGTATAAACAAAAAGATCCACCAACTTCATTTTAAAACTTGTAAGTTAAATAATTTGAGAACCGTATTAAAGAATGCAGTATTTCTGTAGGTGCTTTACAACAAGAGTACAATCACAGATAATATAATACTAGGTACAATGAAGAATACGCGTCTAATAGTAGCTACTAGCTACGCAGTACGGTCCGTGGACTGGACAAAGCCCCCCGCAGAGTATACTGACTTTTTGTCGACCGATAGTTTGGTCCGGCTGCTGAAGAACATGCATGGAAGTGCACACATTACTACGATTTGATATAGACTGATTCTTCACACAAATTGGAAGCCGACGAAACTATCGGGGCGTATGTTTATGAACTAAGTACTAGCGGCCGCCCGCGACTTCGTACGCGTGGATCCCGTTTTACCCCTTTTGCAAAATCCCGTCTTAGTATGCACCTACGTTCTAAAAGGAACCCCTATGTAGAATTTCAGACTCCTAGCACTTGTAGTTTCTGAGATTTCGTGATGAGTGAGTGAGTCAGTGACCTTTCGCTTTTATAGATATATGAAGATAGAAGATGTATAATCGATTTCTGTCGGTGTCCGCAGGGATTACTACAGGTTTGGCCAGGGCAAAGGACGCGTGCTAACGGTGGGCGCCGTGTGCGTGGGCCACTACTGCAGCAGCGTGTTCGAGGGCTACTGGCATCGCTCGGTCATCGTGCGCGTGCTGGATAGCGACACCGTCAAGGTGAGCCGCCTTGTATCATTGGCGTGTATCTAGAGTTATTTTTCAGGTGACTTGACATGTCTGATAGACGACTCATGGTCAGTAGGTTAGGTACTATCAACTATCATCATTGAATCGGTAGCCCAACATCCTGGGTGCGGCACTACAATTCTGGATGGGCATGGAACCATATACAGGATGTTTGTTGATTTCAATCCTCGCCATATTTAGGGAGTTGATTATGTAGCTTATTTTGATCACAATTCAGTAAAAAAATTGACTTCGAAAAAAATTTAAAACGAACTAACTTTAGTAAGTTGAAGAAAAATACCTATTTATACTACCTACTTTACGTGGCTTCCTTCAGTAGGCTAACCAAAAAGTTCATTAATCCCCATTACTTTAAAAATAAAATCCTAATATAACGGGGATTAATGAACTTTTTAGTTCGTTATTCCCCATTATAAGCTCCAATTGGCATTAACGGGGAATAGTGAACAAAAAGTTCACTAATCCTCGTTAACGGGGATTATCAACGGGGAATATTGGAATAAGCCCCTTAAATCTATGTTCAGGTGCGGCTCATAGACTACGGCACCGTGATGAGCGTGTCGGTGGACGACCTCAAGCCGCTGCGGCGCGAGTTCGCAGCGCTGCCAGCGCAGGCGGTGCGCGCGCGCCTGGCCGGCGTGCGGCCGGCCGGCGGCAGCCTGTGCTGGTCGCACGCCACCTCCGCGTACTTCCATCGCCTCGCGTACGACAAGCGCTTCGTCGCCAATATCATCGCCGTCGACAGAGACGTGAGTCCGCTTTTTTTGCGTCAGGAAATGCTATGCGCATGCTCATGGGCGTAGCCACGGTGGCTGACCTGCAAGGTACCTAACCTAACCTAAACTTAAATTATCTAGGTACTTATTAACTACAAAATTTAATATCCGTTAGAAAATGCGCATTCAAACCAAAAAGCTCGGTCATGACAGATACAGGTTGCTGCAGTGCCATAAGGTGCCTTTTTTTCCTTCCTTTAATCCTTTGCGCATGCCTACTGGCTGATGGGGACAGTCAGTCAGTGGGTTATGTGGGACTTTCCCCGCCGGGAGGGCGGGACCTACCCACTACCTAAAACCCGACGGTGTCCCCCGGGGCCATTGAAACGAAGCCGTGAGTTATTGTCCTATTGGACATTCGCCCGCGGCTCCATCTCAGGTTACTGCTCGCTCTTGGGCGAGCCCCGCCGGCTTCAAGGGGAATAGAGATTCCCCTCGGGTCGTCCGCTAACGCACTGAACACTGGTGCGCCGGCGCCACGGGTCTCGTAAGGCGCCCGCCGGGTACATAGAGAGGTCCTTAGAGGCGCTTAACTCGTAACGGTAATTTTCAAAACTTGATCGCTCCGCTAGCGACGTCGCCAAATAGAACGTCTACTTAGCACATGCTAGAGCTTTAGCCTGACGTCGCGCTATAGGGCCGATTCGAATCGTGTTGGCGGAATGTGTATAGCGTCATAATATCAAACACAGCGCCGGCGCTAGCTCTGTCGCGGTGCACTAACTAAAGCCATAATGGTCGATTCACTCATAAACAGTGCAGTGAAGCCACAGTTCCTTCAATGTATTCGCTCAGTTTAGTATCAGTGTTTCAATGTAGCGTCAGTGATTCAATTCACACGTCATGTTAGTGGGTAGTGGGTACCTCAGATCATAGGTGGGTACTCTGTTCACGGAGCTTCAGTGATGTGTGAATACTTCCCTTCTATGATCTGATTCCGATGTGATTCTTGATTTGATTTGTGCAATAAATTGTTTATTCCAGGAGGCCATCCTCGAGGTGTTTTTGATGGACACATCTGCGGACGAGGACGTGTGCATCAGCAAGCAGTTGTTGAGCGTCGGGCACGCCGACATTCGCCCCGACGCCGCGACGCAGGTCAGTGTATCCCCCATGTGAACCTCACTGATATTAATTTATTTTATTTATTTATTTACTTATTTATTTATTTATTTATTTATTTATTTATTTATTTATCTATCTATCTATCTATCTATTAATTTATTTATTTATTTATCTATTTATTTATTTTATGGAAAACGAACTAAAATGCCTTACATAGTTTTCACAAATAGTATATCAAAATACAATCTAAAACAAATTATTTAGTATGAAGTATATACAACGTGTCCCAAAATTCAAGGATAAGCCGATGCCACAGGATGGACATAGTCATGACTACTTTAGGAGAAATAAGGAAAAAAATCTATGTCAATTATTTTTTAACTTACACAATAAATTATGAAATTCGACGAAAATTCACACCCCTTATGATATTTTACATTACCACGACCACAATTTTTCACATATTCCTGTTTTTCTGTTTATATCGGCAACTTAAGTAGTGCTGCTGTTCACTTCAACTCTTAAAACCCCCAGAATCCTTGCAGTTTTTACACAAAAGTTAATCAAAATATGTTATTTCCTTAAAATTTTGAACGATTTTTACTTTCACTCCACTTTGACTCATCGTTTTGTAAAAACAAAGTATGAACACTACTGCGGCAAGTTTTTTATAAAGTTGACGCAACTATCCAAGATTCCAAAATGGTATAATACTCTAGGAAACCTAGTTGCAAAAAAGATATACGTACCATTTTTACAAGCACTTCGCTTGTTAGTTAGTATGGGATAAATCTTGCAACTGAATTTAAAACCAGTTCTCCTTAACCAATTGAGCTGAAATTTGGTATACTTGTGTAAGTACGATGACAATGCAATATTATGGTACCATTGAGCTGGATGGAGTATGGAGGTGGCCATAGGAACTCTTAACGAAACGGCGGAATTACATCTAGTTTGGGTTCGTTGGACTTGTCTTTTCGAGCACTTTAGTGCTAGATGATGTTCAGGGTCCTGATGATGAAGTCAAGAGGTGGCAGGAGCTGGCCATAGGAACTCCTAAACGAAACGGCGGAAGCTTATCGAGTTTGGGTTCGTTGGATTTGTCTTCCCGAGCACTTAGGCCATGAGATTGAGAAACAACTAAAAAGCTTAAAATAAAGTTGTAATAAAAAAAAACTTATTTAAAAACAAGCTTGACTTCGTTTGAAAATTATAATTGACTTCATCATCAGGACCCTGGACATCACCTAGCACTAAAGTGCTCGAAAAGACAAATCCAACGAACCCAAACTAGATGCAATTCCGCCGTTTCGTTTAGAAGTTCCTATGGCCACCTCCAGTCTCCATTCAGCTCAATGGTACCAAAATATTGCATTTTCATCGTACTAACATAAGTATACCAAATTTCAGCTCAATTGGTTGAAGAGAACTGGTTTTAAATTCAGTTGTAAGATTTATCCCATACTAACTAACAAGCGAAGTGCTTGTAAAAATGGTACGCATATCTTTTTTGCGACTAGTTTTCTTAGAGTATTATACCATTTCGGAATCTTGGATAGTTACGTCAACTTTATAAAAAACTTGCCGCAGTAGTGTTCATACTGTTTTAATACAAAACGACGAGTCAAAGTGGAGTGAAAGTAAAAATCGTTCAAAATTTTAAGGAAATATCATATTTTGATTAACTTTTGTGTAAAAACTGCAAGGATTCTGAGGGTTTTAAGTATTGGGGTGGACAGCAGCACTACTTAAGTTACCGATACAAACAAAAAAACTGAAGTATTTGAAAAATTGTAGTCATAGTAATGTAAAATATCATAAGGGGTGTCAATTTTCGACGAATTTCATAATTTATTGTGTAACTTAAAAAATAATTGAGATAGATTTTTTTTCTTATTTTTCCTAAAGTAGTCATGACTATGTCCACCCTGCGGCGCCGGCTTATCCTTGAATTTTGGGACACGTTGTATATAACAGTCCGATATATGAAAAAAGTTAAAACAATACAGAAAATAGGTACCTACCTACTAAAGACATACCAAGATAGCAGAATATTAAGCAAAAACAGATACAGGCTTCCATTTTTTACCGGGAGAATGCTAAGTAATGTCGTCAAAGAATTCTTTATTACTTTGATTTTTGAAGTAGTTTGGTCTCACAATATGAAAAAGGTCAAGATTTTCAGAATAATAATTTTCCTATAAAAATCCTTACAAAAATTGAAAAAAAAAATCTAAAAGCACTGGGAAGCTGACTAACATCATCATTTACTTACTTCCATTAAAACTGCGAAGAGAGGTCGCCGATCTTACCTTCCTACATAACCTAATTAATGGTAAAATAGACTGCAGTGAGCTTCTGTCGCTTATTATAATCCAAAAAATAGCCCTCCTATCAAACCATTGCAATGCCTTAACTAGGTAGCTAAGTATTAAGCACACATGTATTAGTGGAGTGGAGTAAGACCATACTACACTTAGTATGCAAATAAACAATTTGAATTTGAAATTGAATCAAGTTACACGTGCCGATTCGTGCAAATATCAGGAGAAATTGTCTCAGATTCCACGTTGATGCATATGTTACGGTCAAAGTGATAAATGTGAAAATTATGAATAATCGCCGGTTATTATGNACCTATAATCCAACCAAATTAAATATGCTACATGTTTTAAGCATTTACATGTACAATGAGTACTTTTTAAAATGACGTAATCATATTTTGTTTACATATCAAATTTTATTTATTTTACGAAAAAATAGCTACTACAATAGATTTAAAATGTACTTACGCGTGATAAGAAACATTTCTTGTGTGACAGGAATAATTTTTGCAATAAAGTACGGCGCATTTACCCATTTCTCGTGATATTTTTACTCTTCGAGAGCTGGCGTCATACTGACAAAGTGACAACCTGACAACATTTACCATGGCTAATTTAGCCATGGTAAGTGCTAGCGGGGTAAAGACGAAAACGTCACTCGTTACGCGTCCAGTGGTTTATTCGTCCAAGCCCTTGGGCCACCCCTAAGCCGCCTATTTAGTTTTATACATACATACATAAATGATCTCATATTAATCACATTTACCAAATCATGCGGTTATTATTCATAATAACCGGCGATTATTCATAATTTTCACATTTTATCACTTTGACCGTAACACATATACCTACCACTAAATGGAAACTAAACTGTCTCATCTATTATTTGTTACATGTATGCTGTTTGTTTTCCATGAAAATAAATAAAAAGTCTGGACTCGTAACTCGAGCATGCATGTTAAGGTCTGCGACATCGGACCTCTTCCCCGTCGCCCTGACAGCGGTCATTGCAGAAGTCGTCGTTGTTGCAGAGATCGGACTTGTACCTCTTCCCGCAGTTTGCCGCGCTCGAGTCCGGCGCCGCTCCCAACTTCTGCGAAATCCAAACCTGCCTGCGCGACGGCATCATGCTCGAATACGTGGAGGACTACCGCCGCCACGTGCCCGCCTGCCGGCCGCTGCACGAGCGCCCTGAGGCAGCAACGAGCAACGAGAGCTCGCCGTCGCCCGACGAGCAGCCGGAAACCTCGAGCGCCTCCCGGGCGCTTTGCGATCATCCACGTGCGCGCCCGATAGGCCCCCGCGACCCGCGCAACGGGCCTTGCCCGCGTTGCTGCGACCCCCGCCCTGACCGGCGCGCTCCCTTCGATCCACCGCGCGATCCGAACAACGCTCCTAGCCCGCGCGCGCCCTCCGCTCCTCCACGTATGCGCCCGTTGGTCCCGCGTAATGTGCGCAGCGCCTCTAGCCCGCGACCCCCAATCTTACATCCACCGCGTTATCGCCGGAAGGGCTCTCTCGAACCGTACAACGCCACTAGCCCGCATTGTGACGGCCTCAGTGTAGATCCGTGGGCGCCCTGCGATTCTCCGCGTGGGCGCCCGATGAGCCCGCGCGAATCACGCAATGCCCCTAGCCAGCTTTGCGACGTCCCGCTGGTGCCCCGCGTGGCCTTACGCTCTCCACGCAACGCTCCTAGCACACGTTTCAACACGCCTCGAGTGTCCCAGGGCGATCCGCGGAACGCCCCTAGAACGCGTTGCGATGCTTCGCGTGCGCCACGCGCCGATCTGCTTGCGTCTCAAGGCGCCGTTCCGCGCCACCGGCCGCTCGATCCCAATCTGTCGATGCGCTCGTCCTCCAGCCCTCCAGAGTCCACTTCGTGCGGCAGACCGCCGGCGTCCGAAGCTCGTCCGATTCCCCCGAGCCCGCCTCCGTTCCGCGAGGCCCTGCGCGCTCAGTACAACGCCCCTAACCCACGTTGCGATGCCCCGCGTGTGCCGCGCGCCGAACTGCTTGCATCTCAAGGCGCCGTTCCGCGCTACCGGCCGCCCGGTCTCAATCAATTGATGCGCTCGTCCGGCAGCCCGCCAGAGTCCGCCTCGTCCAGCGACTCGTCGGCGTCTGAAGCTCGTCCGCCTCCCCCGAGCCCGCCTCCGTTCCGCGAGGCCTTGCGCGCTGCGTGCAACGCCCCTACCCCACGTTCCGATGTTCCGCGTACGCCGCGCGCCGAACTGCTTGCGTCTCAAGGCGCCGTTTCGCGCCACTGGCCGCTCGATCCCAATCTGTCGATGCACTCGTCCTCTAGCCCGCCAGAGTCCACCTCGTATGGCGAACCGCCGGCGTCCGAAGCTCGTTCAACTTCTCTGAGCCCGCCTCCGTTCCGCGAGGCCCTGCGCGCCCCGTACAACGCCCCTAACCCACGTAGCGATGCCCCGCGTGTGCCCCGCACCGAACCGCTTGCGCCTCCAAGCGCCGTTCCGCGCTACCAGCCGCCCGGTCTCAATCGGTCGATGCGCTTGTCCGGCAGCCTGCCAGAGCCCACCTCGTGCAGTTTCTCGTTGGACTCTGTAACTCGTCCGACTCTCCCGAGCTTGAACCCGTCTGACGAGGTTCCGGCCCGGTCCCCGCCGCCAACGTACGGCGCTAGCGTAGGGCTCGGCGCCAGCGTGTTGCTGCCGATGGTGGATTGTGAGATCTTCCAGCTGTTGGGAATGGTCAATGTCAGCGCAGCGCGCTGGTACATGTCGAATGCGATATCGCGCGCGATGCCCACGGGCCAGACGTCGGCGTTACCAACGGCGTCCACGCTGAATTTGGCGCCACCGGCATCCACGCCCAACTTAGCGCCGCCGGCGTTCATGCCGAATGTCGCGATGCCGGCGTCTACGCTGAACGTGGAGGCACCGGAGTACCAACCCGCCGGCGAGCGCCCGCCGCCCGCGCCCTTCTAAAGGGTTCTTTCCCGTTCTTTTCTTTCCCTTCCCTTTCTGTTCCCGTTGCCGTTGCGGGCAAAAGATACGAGGGTGGATTGGAATATTCACGGTCTAACACATACATAGGCACTTGAACTATTATGATGTAACTGACTTCATTCGATTTGTTTACTCTCTGGTTGTCACATTGTAAAAGAAGAACGGTCACGCCCCATACAAAAAAAAACCCAGACCCGACAGAAACGAGACATACCTCAGTTTTTTTGTCATGTCTCAATTAGTTAAATTATATATTTTTTATATTCGAAATCTATGTAGCTAGAACAACAAAATATTACCCTTTGTTTTTGTTCAGGCGTTATACAAAAACTAATACAAAATGCCTATTTACCACCAAAATTCGTAAATGTCCTACCTAAATGTCTATTACAGCTGCTATGGAATGTATCTATACATAGCCCGTATGTCATAACTTCTATACTAATTGAAATTTTTTCAAAAAGTATTTTTTTTTTCTTAATGTATCAAAACAATACCTAAATCCAAAATTTGACCATTTTTGAAGCAAGGGTTCAATGAGTGCCAATTTAAGGGTTAAAACGTAATGGGTTTACTATAGTAAACTCATTGTTACACATTTCTTTGCTTGTGTTTCTGGGTTTTTTTCTATGAAGTTTTGGCCAAGTCTTTTGGTAATGTCTGTAAGCCTTTTGGCAATTTTTTGATCTGTTTTTTCATATTCTATTACTCTGTGTTTTACTAGTTTTAAGTAAGTGTAAAACTGAGCATATTGTTTCACAGCACCTGATTTTTTTAATATGCTCAGTATAAATTAATTAGTAACTAATCATTGTTATACTTAATACTTAGTGTAGGATACTTTGTATCTTAGGCTGAGTTGCAGCACCTAACTTTAACAGTAACTATTACTGTGGTGGACTGCAGTGGACTGTATGCGTTTATGTGTGTTCGAGAGCACTGACTGGACGATGATGACTGCCGTTGAGAGCTTGCCCTTACTATGTCAGGCGTAGTAGGTGCTACTTGCAGGAATAAAACCACTATTTCACTTGCTGAGAGTACTCGCGTTTATTATTCGCTTCCTTTTCTCAGTTCTTGCTTCTTCAGATCACTTGTTGCTTGGAGCACTTGTTCTCTGAACTAAACTCTGAACTAAACTCTGAACTAATCTCTGAACTAAACTCTGAACTAAACTCTGAACTAAACTCTGAACTAATCTCTGAACTAAACTCTGAACTAATCTCTGAACTAAACTCTGAACTAAACTCTGAACTAAACTCTGAACTAATCTCTGAACTAAACTCTGAACTAAACTCTGAACTAAACTCTGAACTAAACTCTGAACTAATCTCTGAACTAAACTCTGAACTAAACTCTGAACTAAACTCTGAACTAAACTCTGAACTAATCTCTGAACTAAACTCTGAACTAAACTCTGAACTAATCTCTGAACTAAACTCTGAACTAAACTCTGAACTAAACTCTGAACTAAACTCTGAACTAAACTCTAAACTAAACTCTGAACTAAACTCTGAACTAAACTCTGAACTAAACTCTGAACCAAACTCTGAACTAAACTCTGAACTAAACTTTAACTTAACTTAAACTCAAACTTAACTTAACTTTAACTTAACGTAAACTTTAACTTGACTTAAACTTGTCTCCCGGAGCGCCTCGCTCCGTATTTTTAAGGTCCCGGGCTATATCCATCCCTTTCTCTCCCGATATTCCTGTCTCTGTCTCTCATGTTCTGGACCATAGGTTCGAAGCGAGAGGTCCGATGTTGCCCTCCTGTTTCTTTTTCTCTCGAATATTCCAGAAGTGTGTGGAAGAGTAATTGATGTGCAAGCGAGATGATAAATAATGTGAGAAAGAGATGGAATGCTATTTATATCTAATCGACTCTAATTGATTATTTTACAACATTTTCTGACTGTTAACGTTGCTAATCAATTCTAATTAATAATTGACATACTTTTGACGTTTATCAAAGTTAAAGTAAGATGGTGCAACCCAGCCTTATTATTGTCTAATTATATTATGTGGATGGACAGGGTGGTATTGGAAAGAAACATGCATTTTTGTGACGAATAAATAAAATGGTACTAATCCACAAATAACAACTATTTATTTATTTACTTTACCTACTTTAATAATATACAGTTGTTTTAAACCTTATTAACAATTAGCTTACATAAATTATAATAATAAAGTTTAGAACGCAAACTTATACGTACACAACTGCTACGCTACATTTTCATTACTGCTTGAGGAACTAGGACTGAATTATACGCGTACTAAAGTCTTAATGTAGTCCTACTTATGTTAAAAACTAAGCTGAACTGGGGATATTTTTGGTTATATTTTGGCCTTACTATCTATAATATGGCAAGGGTTTACAATACGATTCAGTAGCGATCACGAGGTCCACCGGCAGAGTCCGGCGTTAGTTGTTAAAAACCATGAACATAGAATACTACGACCTAGGATATGGCACCGTACCTACCTAAAATAAAAAATCGAAAATATTTTCATGATAATACTGATCGTGCATGCCTGGGGTTTAGTCATTGGTCTCCAGTACAGCTCTTTTACCGTTTGTTCTTTTATATATTTAGCTTCTCTTATATCGTTAAAAGAAGTGAGAGAACGCATTGTCATTGACATCTATCTGATTAATGACTTTCCACGCGATCTTTAGGTAGAACCAGTATAAAAACAAAACTCAGACTTAAAATTACTAATAATTAAAATAACGGGTCCACCAGTTTTGGTGTATCTCTTGTTCTCTTTGTGGTATTATAATATAAATTTCCGCCCGCGGCTTCGCCCGGGGTTTTCCCGGAAATTATTCGAATTCTTCTCGCCGTAAGAACCATCCTTGGACTTCAACGAACATTAAAAAAAGGATTGGTAAGGTGGAGAAGTTTCAAATTGTTTTCTTTTAATAAAACTTGAAAATATAAGTAAATCTAAATAATAATATAGAAGAATCATGAAAATATCTCTACAAATAAAGAAGTTACAGAGCCCCAAAGTTGCGCATAACATAACATTATTTCGCGCCATTTGATCGGTGACGTCACGGCACTTATTCCACCCACTGGTCCAGTGCTGTTGAAAGATAAAATTTTGTAGTTTTTAATTTTTCAGCCAGGGTTACTCTCAAGATTCTATCTTAGTAAAATTTTGTAACCTTTCTTTAACATATGCCAGACCTGGCCATATACCTACAAAAAGAAGAAGAAGACTTTGACATAAAGTGTCATTCTCGGCAATGCGCCAGGAGTGGTAAGCATTGTGGTTGAAACTTGAATAGGTGGCGCACCGCCTATGTTTGAGTTCCACGTGAAAATATGTAGGTAATTTAAATAATTAATTTATCTGCTATTTCTTGATGGATTTGAAAAAAACCTTCACCGTTTTTTTAGTTTTGGTCTATATTTTAATCCCATTCAGTGAAATAGTTATAATGTTTTCAACATCACGAAACTTTTCCATAGGTCTAAACGTTGTTGAGTTATGCGCTTACCAACACATTTTGCGATTCATTTTTATATGTATTATGGATTACCGAAATAATAACCTAAGTAATGAATATTCATTATGTATTGAGATTATTATTCGAGATGTCAAAAAACTCTTCTCTGTTTAAGTACGCGGGTAAGTACAGGGAAGTGGTATTGGTGATATCATGCAAGATCTAACAACGAGGTAAGTATTCCTCGAATCGGAACCATAAGTTGCAGTGATACTTTTTATTCATCCTAGTAAACATAAAGTTTGAAATATTAGTAAACTTTATTAGGTGCGCCTTAAAATGGGTGAGCTTCGGAATACCTCCTAACAACAGATTTCATGCACATCTTTGATATGAACTCAAGCGACGTTTTGTCCTCTGCACATGCGCCAGTACATTCCTTTAGCCGCCACCAGCTCCGTATGAGTGCCGCGCTCGATGATTTTCCCTGGTTAAGAAACAATAAGTAGGTGAGTACCTAACTAAAGTTTCCCATCTGTTAAGGCTGATTTACACGTTTTAACATGTTAATAGGTAACAAATTTTAACTTAATTTCAAGTGCAAGTTAAAATTTAGCTAGCAATTAAATTAAGGCTGAGTTGCACCACCAAAATTTGACCGTAATTATAACGTTATTTTTGTATGAAGTTTGACAGATTTGTCAAAGTAAGATGGTGCAACTCATCCATTACCTATAGATAAGTGTCAACTTACCTTTATCTACCACGCAAATGAGGTCTGCACCCTTTACTGTGGAGAGGCGATGTGCTATCGTTATACAAGTACGCCCTTTGGCCGCTTTCTCTAGAGCTTCGGTTACCGCCTGTAACAAATTAATCATTTCTTATTAAATACACACCCACCTACTTAATCCTTTGGTCGCGCAGTCGAGAGCCTTCAGATTTATGTTATGGTGTTCCTTTCTCCCGCCGACTATTAACCTTTTTTTACGTCGGTAAATACTTTGACGGGATTTGATCATGTCTCCACGACGCATAGCTTGCGAGAATTAAATAAGCGAAAAACCGAAAAATGGAACCTTCAAACCTCCCTCTCCCCCCGCCTTCTCAAGGGCTAAGGGGGACTTTTGATATTTCACTTTTAACTATTAAAGTCGTCTTTATTTATTGGAATAGGTATAGGTAATAAGTATATCCTATAACCCACAGATCATAGAAACTAAAAGGAGATGTGAAAAGGTTTTTTTTCTTTTCCTCGCGATTATGTACTGTGTAGTAGTGTACATTGGCGTATCTAGGGTAATTTTCCAGGGGGGCCTGGTTCCTGACATGACATGATATCTCCTCCCCGATCCCCCCGCATGAGGCGATTATCACACTGCGCCGCGCTCCGCCGCGGTACGCGGGACGACAGATTTAATCATTGTATGCATGTACCTCAGTTTGTTGTATAGAAAACACGCGCGGCAGCACAACACACTGACAGTGACAACGCGTCTGCGCGCGGGATTTTTTATATGAAATCACGCGGACCGCGGCGGAGCGCGGTGCAGTGTGATAATCGTCTGAGTGTGTAGTCCTTACCCTTTCGCTGTTAGCGTCTAGCGCGGAGGTGGCCTCGTCGAGCAGCAGCAGGCGCGGCGAGCGGATGAGCGCGCGGGCGATGCACACGCGCTGCTTCTGGCCGCCCGACAGCTGGGCGCCGCTCGCGCCCAAGTTCGTGTCGTAACCCTACATTCAAATTCATCTAAATATACAGTGTGTCCGGGCATGTAGTGATCAAACTTTAAGGTCTATGGACAATTTTATCGACGAAATTTGCAAATAAGTAAGAAAATTACAAGGATTTAAGTTTTTAATTTTTAGTTTTCACCTCTTCCTTCAAAAACAAGTGGATGCGTGGGTTAACACTAATAAGCAAAATTAAATATTTTATATCATGCGATAGCCAATAACATTTTCTATTAGTAGAAGTAGAAAACAGATACAACTTTCATACAATTTAAGGGAGTAAGAATGGATTTAATTAGAAAAAAACAGACTTTTTCCCTTCTTAACATATTACATTATTATGGACCTAAGTTGGTATTTTTGAAAGCATGCAAAGATGTCGCTCACGGCATCAACCTGTATATAAGTAAGTATGTAAGTTCCAATATTGCTAGAACCTGCGCCACTTATTCGGTTGTTACTTTGTAATGTCTTTCGAAAGGTCTTTCAAATCTTCCACTAATAGTTTTGGAGCTCAGCCAAACTGAAGATATAACTCTTGGCACATTAGAATCATGAGAATGGACAACAGCGATACATGACACCGATTTTTCAGTAGGAGTACATACAATAACATAATTATATTCAAATGCAAGTAGATAATATAAGTAGTAGGTACTTGTATTTGAACGGAATTATACTTTTTAAGATAAATTCACACAAGCATACCATTATAGCTTCAACCACACCAACGCGTGCAGATCGCCATATCGCCGGCGCTATCACGGCGCGATCATAGGCAAATGACAGGTCGCGTGAACTAAGTATGTCATGGGTCGCGCAACTTGTCATTGGCCTTTTAGTCCAGTCAATAAAGCATTATAGATGGAAAACTGTAGAACACAATTTCTGACTTCAGGACTTTATTTAGACTAGTTAGGAGGTGAACACAGTAAATTTTAACATTTCACATGTGATAGATAGATAGTAGTGCTCTAAATATCGATTTTTGAACGTCAATACCTAAATAACTGTTTGAGGTATATTTATGAAATTTGAAGCTGATGTATATCTTGCAAGTCTCAATACATGAGCCAAATTTGAAGTGTTAATGCACACTAGTTTTTGAATGATGAGGAGTCAAAAGTGGCTCTAATTGGTTCGTCTAAATATACGCACGGTGCAGTCCCCTCCCTGGAACTAGGCTTAACATGCTCCCGCATGTCTATAGTGTTTGCTCAATGTTGATTTAGTCGATTTTCTCCTGAAAGGAACATGTAAGACAACAATAAAATTTCCAATTTTACAGACCTTCTAGAGCAGATGCCGTAAAAACTATACAAGATATAGAAAAACTTGACGGTCTCACCTGTAGCAAATTGAATAAGCTTTTTTTGGTTCATATTAGTCATGTCACTAGGACGCATAGTTTCCGAGGATTAAGCGAAAAACCGAAAAGTGATACCTTTAAACCCCCCTCTCCCCGCCGGCTCAAGGGCTGAGGGCGGGGACTTTTGCTATGTTCACCACCTAACTAGGCTAAATAAAGTCCCGAGGTCAGAAATTGTGTTCCATGGATTTCTCTCTACACCGTCGTTAAGGCATTCATTGACTGGACTATTTGATCGGGCCGGGCGATGCGATCTGCACGCGTTGGTGTGATTGAAGCTTAACTTCAAAACGCTGTTTAAACGTAGATTTGGGTCTATCAGAGGGCTTAGCGTGAGTTTACATGAAACGTCGTCACTAGTGAGCGCGTAAAAAAAATACATTTAAATGAAACTTTCAAGAACTAAAATTTTCATATATTTTTTAAAGAGCTCACTATAGTGACGACGTTTGATGTAAACTCACACTCAGCCCTCTGTCAGCGTCGCTAATGCTCGCATCTGGCTTTGCGTGAGATACTTAGATGGCAAAATGGCAAACTTCGAATTCATTCGAAACTTCGGATAACGTTTTTCGGAGTAACCCTCCTGTACCTTAGGCAAGGAAACGATGAAGCTGTGTATATTGGCTGCCTTTGCAGCGGCCACGATCTCGTGCATCGTAATCTTGCGGTTGTTGTCCCCGTAGGCGATGTTCTCGGCCAGCGTGCGGTCGAACAGCACCGGCTCCTGCTGAACCACTCCCAGTTGGCGCCGGAGCCGCGGCAGCGTCAGCGAACTACGGGTGTCTACGCCGTCCAACTCCTGAAGCGGACAAACGGTTTATAAATATAAACTACCTTGTTATGCATAAAAAAAAGCTTTCGAAAATTGAGTAGAAGTTCTGATCACCGCAAATGGGACAGCAGCACGGATCTAACAAAACTAAAGAAAAGTAAGGCTGAGTTGCACCAGCTAACTTTAACCGTAACAATAACGATAACCGGTGTTTTTGTAAGGAGTCTGACAGATTTTTGACGTTTGTTAAAGTTAAAGTTATAGATAGTAAGATGGGGCAACGCTGCCTTATTATGCAAATGTCCCACTCGGTTGACCAAAAACACCGGTTAACGTTAAAGTTTCGGTTAAAGTTTAAACGGTGAAAAGCGTTTATTCAGCAGCATGGTACTTACTAAATGTTTCGATGCCTACTTAAAATGATGATGATGAATTGAAAAGTAGAATGATAGCGATTAGGTAGGTACGAACGAGTATGTCGGATCAGCCTGGAGTAGGTAAAGATACCTACCTACATATTATTATCTCAAGTCAATCTCAATATTAAAAATACAGTATTCATTCTAATTTTTTGTAGTTTTTGTTGGCATCTTCAACAAAAATTGTGCGCCATGTCCATTAGTAATGAATTTGTTTTTTTTTCTGTTTTTTCAGTCCTATTTAATATGCATGATTTCGTGTATAACATAACAAACTAATCTAGTAGGTAGGTACAAAATTTGTAATTTGGTTTGTACCTATTCGTTCACTTGTTATCTCAGTATTGCGAGTAGGTACTTCTTAGTATCTTCAGAGACGATTGTTACTAAAATCTAGTTTCTAGGACTAACAGTTACCTACTTTATTTCTTTAAAATGTACGCTTATGATCAAAGCACCCGAGTACACAAATCGCTATATTCCATGTAAGTACCTAGCTAGTTCCACATGAAACTACTTATATCTGCATTAAGTAAGAAGTACCTACCCTTTAAGTACCTACTTTACTAGTTATCGCAATCAGAAAAATGAGTTTGAAATTAAAAAAAGAAAGTTTTGTCAAAAATCTTTACTTTTAAAAATATTCCATAATGTAAATTCATGATGTTCCTATGGGCCGTGGTAAAACACTACCCTAAGTGCTACTTGAGTCAATTTGATAACTTAAAATGCTTCAAGTTTTATTTGCCAGCGTTTTCTTTTAGCCTCTGTTCCCTCTCTCGTAACCTCCTCTCTCTTTCGAACTCTTTCATTCTGATGACGTAGTCGTCGTGTTCGCAGTTCAGGTACACATGTTTCTCGTGGTGACACCGGTAGAGAAAGGGCATGTTCTTGTATCGGCAAACTAGGTAGTTCATTAACAAATGGGCGCAGTAGTCCCGATACTTTGGAGGTACTTTAGCTGAGATCAGATCCTCTTCGCAAGCGACCATGGTGCGCTGCTGCCTCTTAGACGTGAATCCAACTTTGGTGTCGAAAGTCGGTTTGTCGTTCATTTTTAAACCGACTCCAGTCGTTCGCCATGTCCCAAAGATTTGACCCATTCTTCTTGATTTAATTTGTATGGATTTATCAAAAATTGTGATGATAATTTCCTTTAAAGGTAAACATTAAATTCCCCTCGTACTGTTTTCATTGATTGACAAATAACACTGACAAACATCGTGTTTTTTTTCAGTGGTCATATTTCAAAAGTTTTTATGATTCGAATACAATCTATCTCGACTTTAGATTTCATTATTGATTATTATTATACAGGGTGTTAGGTAAATGGGTATATGAGCCGACACTAGCCCATGTTAACATGGTCATATAAATGGTATGGTGAAGTCAGAAATTTGATATCATCATTTTAATTTTTTTAATTTTCATACAAAATAAATTTTATAAAATCCGATTTGTATGAAAATTAAAATAATTAAAATGAAGAAATAAATTTTCTGACTTCATCATACCATTTATATGACCATGTTAACATGGGCTAGTGTCGGCTCATATACCCATTTACCTAACACCCTGTATAGTTCCAAAATACTGGACTGTCCTGTCGATGACATTGACAGTGGGGCGCCACTGTCAATACCGGATCGCAGGTTCCGATTTTTGCCATGTTGGAAACCATATAGTTGAACGATGGTAGCGCCCCCCTGTCATTGAGTTTGGCGGGACAGTTCAGCGTGGGTCATCTATAACCCGTTTCCCATATTCAATCCTTGTTCAAATCCGGATTACAAATGTCAAATTGAATTCAGTTTTAGAATAAATATTCACAATTTTCGATGCGTTTATTACACTAACGCCCATATTCACAAACGATGCTTGCCAAATCACTGCTATCGCTGCTCCAGGAGCGTGAGAACAATTCGCCGACGTCATCTTTCACAAAATGTCCCGTAGTCACAGAATAAGTAATAGTACAGGTACAGAAGGATTACTCAGCAAGACGATTTAAATAAATGCGAGTCTTGCTACGACGCGATACAGTGGAATTCAGCTCGCACAGCACTACGTACCTACAATTTTATTCACCTACAAGTTTTCTCTTTCTATCGCGTGCCTCTGAACTCTTCTTACGCTGTTAGGGTTGCTGTCTAGTGAAAAAATAATTAATCTACTTATTTGTAATGACCTACGTATGTAGGTAAGTATGCATTCATTATGGTAAACCTTGGGAGAGGCCTTTGTCCATCAGTGGACGTCATTTGGCTGAAACGATCGAACGCATTCTGAGCAGTAGCAATTATTATTCTGTGGCAGTAGTCATAGTAGGTTAGGTTCCTATACTATCCTAAGAATTATTGATTACCTACATGGCCAACGTACCTTTCAGCATCTTTGGGAAGCGAAAAAAAAAAGATAAATCCGGTAGATTACTTTTCGAATTTAAACACCCGAACGCCGCACAATATTTCTTTCTCTTTATATCCATTTTTAAATAATACTTCGATCATAGAATTATAATCATACTACAACGCACGCCGCCGCGGCGGGGCGCTTCGCTGTAGGTAATTATCGGATGTACCGCGCGGAGTGAGCCAGGCCTGCCATAGTACAGTAATATTCTTCCACATTTGGTAGAAAACAGATATTTTTTGTAACAAATCCTAGAAATATAGATGAACTACACTGAAATGTCCCACCGACGACATTGACAGCAGGGCGCCACCATCTTCGTGCAACTATATGGTTTCCACCGTGGCAAAAGTCGGAACTAGCGATCCGCTATTGACGGTGGCCCCCCTGTCAGTGTCAAATAAAGGACAGTTCAGTGTAGTTCATCTTTATCTAGGATTGCAAATTTGGATGACAACACCTTTCAAAGCAAACGTCAAAATCGGCGGATAGGATATAGGAAACCACAAAACTGTCATTTTCATACAGAGGATCTATCCGTTTTCTGATCTGACCCTCCCATAGATATAGATTGCCAGCGCAGATTGCAATCTCTAGTCGTGGATACACCCACGCTGAACTGTCCCACCAAACTCAATGACAGGGGGGCGCTACCATCGTTCAACTATATGGTTTACAACATGGCAAAAATCGGAAGCAGCGATCCGGTATTGACGGTGGCGCCCCACTGTCAATGTCATAGATAGGACAGTTCAGTATTTTGGAACTATAACACCAATTCAGATTGAAATATGACATTAACTGTCATATTTCAATCTGTATTTGACGAAAGATCGATTATTGAAATCGGGCGTAAGTGAAGTAGCAAATCGAACGTATATAGTTCCAAAATACTGAACTGTCCTATCGATGACATTGACAGCGGGGCGCCACCGTCAATACCGAATCGCTGGTTCCGATTTTTGCCATATTGGAAACCATTAAGTTGAACGATGGTAGCGCCCCCCTGTCATTGAGTTTGGCGGGACAGTTCAGCGTGGGTCATCTATAGCGTTGAATAGAGCTCTGTGATTAGGTTCGTATGTCACCCTGTGCGTCCACGGGCACTGTGAGGCCTCATAGTAATGTTTGTGAATACGGACGTTAAACACTTTCCACTTTTCATTTCCTCAACCCACGTGCAATTTATTCAAATAGTTTATGTACGCGATTCCGTCATAGACTGAGTGGGTAACAACATGAAAATGTAAAAACATCGAAAACCGCAGATAATTTAACCAAAAACATATTGATATTTGATAGCAGACGGACGGATTTGGATTAGGATTAATAGAAATCCAGCATGAGGCTATGCTTACACATATTGGGAATCCAATTTTGGATCCATTTGGAATTTGATCAGACTCGGAACTAATTTAATATAATTAACTTTTTAAAAAAAATAAAGCCGACTTCAAATGCGTGAACACAAAATAAAATTTTTCTTTAAATTTGCATGAAACCACCCATTTGATAATACCTATTCAACAAAAAAATAATCGTTCGAATTGGTTCATAATCGGCGGAGATATTGCGTATAAAAAAGTTCATCCCCAATTTTCCACCCTTGGGGGTTGTTTTTTCTATTATTAAATTTAAATGGGACCACCCTTGAGGTATTACCTATACGCCGAAAAAAGATTTGTTCAAATCGGTTCATAATTGCCGGAGTTATCGCGTAACAAACATAGAAAAAAAAAACATACGGGTCGAATTGAGAACCTCCTCCTTTTTTGAAGTCGGTTGAAAAATACTTACAATACTTCCAGTGTCAGGATCGTAGAACCTCTGTATGAGTTGCAGCACGGTGGATTTCCCACAGCCCGACGAGCCGACCAGCGCGACTGTCTTGCCAGCCTCCACCTTCAGGTCCATTCCCTTCAGGATCTGCTGGTTAGGCCGCGTAGGGTAGCTGAACTCCACATCCTTCAGGCTGAAACTACCAGTGGCTGCCTGTGAAATAATAGCAACATGAATCAGAGCTGTATGAATTAGAAGATAATTTTGTGTATGATTTCCTACAAAGCCAAAATTAAATATCATCTAGCTATTGCTGATAATTTTGTCTACTTTTTTTAAAATGATTATAATTATTAGTAAATTGTTATTACAAAATTACTAATAGTCCCGTTAGCCCCTCGTACTAATCTAAATATACTTGTATCACGGGTGGGCTCACCACAAAATAGTAGAGCGGTGCCGGGATTCCATTTCCATTCCGGGACACCCAGGATTACGAGTCAGCCAGTCCGACCACTTCACCGTTCAACTATCGTGGCTTCATACTATTCAGAGTCAGTCAATGGACAGTTCAAAAAATTTCTCATGTACCAAGAATGGTAAATGTCGCGGGAAGAGCCTGGATGCGGGCAGCGTAGGACCGTTCACTGTGGAAAACCATGGGGGAGGCCTTTGTCCAGCAGTGAACGTCATTTGGCTGAAACGAACGAACCATAAACTATTCCATACCCAATCACGCCTGTCTTTGACCCCGTCTTCCGTCCTGACTTTAGGCTGTCGGTTGATGATGGCGACGATCCTGGCTCCGCAGGCCTTGGCCGAGTTGAAGCTGGGCGCGTATACCAGCGACTGGCCCAGCATGTAGGCGCCGTACATCAGGGCTTCGTTTACCCTAGAAGCCAAGCACCACAATGGACGATAAGCAATTAGCTATTAAACTTGAACAATTAGTAAGTATTGCATGGTTTTCTAGTCGGTCTTATTTTAACGTTTATTTTAATTTTAAAAAGTTATAGGTAATTTGTTATTGTACAAATTACTAATACTCCCGTTAGCCCCCGTACTAAGCTAAATATGCCTGTGTCACGAGAGAGCTCACCACAACACCACAAATAAATAAAATAATAGTCGAGTGGCGGCGGGGACCGAACCCGCGTCCCCCGGATCACGAGTTGGCCAGTCCGACCCCTTTACCGTTCGGCTATCGTGACTTTGAAGGGATATCGTAATTTAGATAAAATAAAAAAATATGCGCTGAAGCTCCGATTTGGGTGATGGCCTAACAGTGGACCTATATTCTACTAGTATTATAGGTAAGTAAATTCGAAAGTTGTGTGTAGATTTTCGATAGTTTTTTTCGCGTAAAATACCGCGAATTAAAATATGTAATTGAGATAAAAGTTGGATTGTTTAATTGTTCTATAGAGCTTATTTAAAAAATGTGGATACTGATAACAAAATTACCCTGTATATTAAATTGAATGAATTATGTGCGGGTGAAGGCAAATAGTCCAGTCAATGAATGCCTTAACGACGGTGTAGAGAGAAATCCGTGGAACACAATTTCTGACCTCGGGACTTTATTTAGACTAGTTAGGAGGTGAACATAGCAAAAGTCGCCGCCCTTAGCCCTTGAGCCGGCGGGGAGAGGGGGGTTTAAAGGTGCCACTTTTCGGTTTTTCGCTTAATAAAAGAGGATTAAGCGAAAAACCGAAAAGTGAAGTCAGAAATTGTGTTCTACAGTTTTCCATCTATAATGCTTTATTGACTGGACTAAAAAGCTAGTACCTACCTACTACTTATGTGGAATTTCTATGTGCTCATCACACAAGATCCAGGATATTGCCCAAAACCTTTTCACTAAATTAGTCACTAACTTTTTATTTCATTTCCTCGGAAAATTTACGTTTTACAAAGGAATTTTCCGAAACATATTCCCAATTTCGCTGCGTTGCCTACAGGAGACGTAGCTCAGATGGTAGAGCACTCGCCCTCATGCGAGAGGTCCCGGGATCGATACCCGGCGTCTCCGAAAAACATTCCCAACTCCAAATGCTTTTGCTTTTTTTGGTTTTTATTCCAAATGTTTCTGATGGCTTGAAATGGTGTTTATGAACTTTCAAAGAATTATATCAACTATAAGGTTAAGATAAATCTAGATTTTTGTTACTCTCACGCAAAAAATACTGAACGGATTTTGATAAAACTTTACATATTTATAACTCAGCATAACATATTTATAATTTATGACGATCTGTGATAAACAGAATTTCATTCGGGTGAAGGCCCGGGCTATAGCTAGTACTATACAGGGTGTTAGGTAAATGGGTATATGAGCCGACACTAGCCCATGTAAACATGGTCATATAAATGGTATGGTGAAGTCAGAAAATTGATATCATCATTTTATTTTTTTTAATTTTCATACAAAATAAATTTTATAAAATCCGATTTGTATGATAATTAAAATAATTAAAATGAAGATATCAATTTTCTGACTTCACCATACCATTTATATGATCATGTTAACATGGGCTAGTGTCGGCTCATATACCCATTTACCTAACACCCTGTATAAGTGGAATTTCTATGGGCTCATCACACAAGATCCAGGATATTGCCCGAAACCTTTTCACTAAATTATTCACTAACTTTTTATTTCATTTCCTCGGAAAATTTACGTTTTACAAAGGAATTTTCCGAAACATATTCCCAATTTCGCTGCGTTGCCTACAGGAGACGTAGCTCAGATGGTAGAGCACTCGCCCTCATGCGAGAGGTCCCGGGATCGATACCCGGCGTCTCCGAAAAACATTCCCAACTCCAAATTTTTTGGTTTTAATACCGAATGTTTTATTTACTTTAGAGTGTTGTATAAGTATTAATAATCGTAATTATTATTCTAACAGCCTCCAAATTACTTCCTCTAGTTAGAGTCAGAGTTGGTAGTACATAATCCTAAATCTAGGAGAGATGGATGTACTTACAGAAGCACAATCTTGTAGTCCAATCCTTCCCTCGCGACCAGGTAGGTACCGTATACAGTCGCACTGCAGTACGAGAGAAATGGGACATAGACGCCGAGGCCTAGAACCAATCCGCGCCAACGAGTCTTCTCGGTGACGGCGCGGCAGGACTCCACCAGTGCTTCCTTGAATTTCTCCAGGAACCTGGTTTCTATGCCTGGAAGAGACGTAGTTTACATAATTATGAACACACCTTGGGATAAGTAGCCTACCAGCATAAAGGGTGAATTTACAATCAGTGTCAAAATTTTTAGGAGCGACTCAAAATCAGTAACTTAATCGATTTACGTAAAGAAAACATAACTGTTTTCCTATTTAATCATTTTTATCAGCTGCGCGCGGTTTCAAAATTGACTTACGTGGATAATTTACTTCGTTCATAGAAAAATACGTACATACAATACAATGAATTGCAAAGCTTAACCGTATCCTTTAAAACTTAAAATATGGGCACCATGAATTGGATTTTATATTTTTTTTTGCGAAAAATACCAAGATTAAAAATAATGAAGATAAAGTTGTATTGTTCTATAGAGCTTATTAAAAAAATTGGATACTGTTTACAAAGTCACTCTGTATTATGAATATTGAAGGTTCGACTATTGTGGTGAACTGTACCTCTAGTAGGAAAAACTTTCGAGTTCGTTTCGTCACGGGTTTCGTTGCGTATTCAAAGTGTCATCGAAAAATTTTGTATGAAAAATTAAACAACGCCCCCTATATTATAGCCGCCCTAGGGGGCGCTGTTTAATTTTTCATACAAAATTTTTCGATGACACTTTGAATACGCAACGAAACGAACTCGAAAGTTTTTCCTACTAGAGGTACTGACTCGTAACACAGGCATATCTAGCTTAGTACGAGGAGGGGTGAACGGGAATATTAGTAATTAGTGATGCAAATTGTTAATATTCTTTAAAAAGGCCTTTTTAGTACCTAACGATTTACATGTTACATCATTATCTACCCGTAACTCACCTAAGCTCTGAACTGTTCTTATGCTGACGACGGCTTCGGTGGCGACCGAGGTCGCGGTCTCCATCGCCTCGCGCTCATTGGTTTGGGATTTCTGCGAAACGATCCCCTCTAGCCAAATGCTGCCCACCATCTGATAAAATTAGCTTTTGGTTAATTTTATGAATGAATGACGCGGCCGCGGGCGCAAACCGCCGAGCGGGACACTATTACAACCACGCCCGCTGCGGGCGAAAACCGCGTCGTGAGTTCTGGCATTAGTTTTTACGTAATATCAGGCCTGTTCATCTCCGCTAGTTTACATCGAAAACAAAACACGCACGATGGCCCACCTACAGGGTACTATTCGGCAAGGCCTCACATACGAGCGAACATTGACTCACGCACGCGTATTCTTGTGTATGATGGAAGAAAATAAAGAAAATGGTGTACTAAATACTGTGCAGTATTTAACTGCCTAAATAATAATAAAAACACAGAATGTACTTTTTTAAGTTGCCTCAAGACACTGAGAGGTAAATAAGTAGTTAATATTATTCATGATAATTCATGCTAAATCATGTATTTCCTCCGCCATTTTCCGCAGTTTGGCACCTCACGTCACATCATTATACCGAAGTCAGCCCTATATAGATGACCCACGCTGAACTGTCCCACCAAACTCAATGACNGGAGGCGCGTTGTCTCGCTCTAATGCTCAAGGTCGTTCGGCCATGTAATCGCCTTAAGTATCTGCATTCTACAGAAGCTGCGGGCCCGCAACCGCTGCGGGCGCGGGTGAATATCGCGCCATGAGTTCTTAGCCTAAGAGTGGAGCACTTTAATTAATGTTATTATTTAAAGTTACTTATAATGGTTACGATCTAATATTGAGTCCAAATTGAAACGTCCCACAAATCGTGGATCGTTCGAATCGTTTAGGAAACAATCCTTCCACAATGTAATTATTAGCCAAATCCTGAAATTATGTAGGTACAAAATATTGCTTTGTATAAGTTATTTTACATGCATACTTAACTTAGTTAAAATTATGTAAAAGACGAACTCCACCTTAACACTAGTTGATAAGTAAACTGAGACCAGCGCTGTTGGATTCATAATATTAATGTACATTATTTTATACTATCTTCTTTATATAAATTCTGATTGTGAATCTGTTTGTGGTCCTATGAGAATAAATGAAAAAAAAAATCCTAAGGAAAACAAAAAAATATGTCATTCATCACGGACCGGAGCATGGGCATGCCTCGATCACACCATGTAAGAATCATTAACATGTAATTGCAAACATGCTTGATCATTACTAGGTAGTTTTGATGCGTGTGGTTTAACTAACAGATGAAGCAGTAAACTTGCCGCATTTAATCCATGCCTTTTAGATAAGGCATTTACAGCCTTTCCATAATCTGTAGTAGGTACTCTAGCTATCTGATATCCTTCAAGAATGTTTTGCTTTAAATGTGCCTTGAAAGTTTTATTTGATGTCATTTAATATAATCGTTATTTACTTAGATTACATAGATCATTGTCGTGTTTGTTTATTTGTATCATTATCAGACAGGCACAATGAAATAAATGTCTAGTAATACTCGTACGTAATAATCACATGTGATATCAGAAGCATCAACCATTTCTTTTCAGTCGGTTATAGATGAACCGTATTTTACGCCTTACATTTCAAAACTAAGTAATACTCGTATGTGCACTTTAGTTTGTTGCTACGGCTTTTTTAACGAATATAATTATTGAGTAGGCCGTTACCCATGAAAAGCCGGGGCGGGTCGCTAGTTAATTTATAAAATACTGTTAAGTTTTGTAATTTGACTTTTTTAATGTGTCAAATAAATGAATTTTCTTTCTGAATTAAAACTTACAAGAGGCAGGAACGCGGTGCCCACGAGGGTCAGCTTCCAGTCGTAGCAGATGGCCATGATGAAGCCGACCACCACGGAGCTGGTGCCCTGCAGGATGAGCCCGACCCTCAGCCCTGTGGCTCCCTGCACCTCGGCCGTCTCCCCACTCAAGCGAGCGCACAGAGCGCCCACTGTATTGCTTTGTTTATCGTAGAAGCCTATTTCCTGAAAAAGGGAAATCAAAGACGCTGAAAAGAAGGTTTGAGCATGTATGTACCTAGGTAGGTAATGGATGCGGTAATAGGTACAGTGTGTTCAGGGAAGTAGTGATAAGGACGTGATCTATGGATAATTTAATCGATGAAAATACTTTAAATTCGGGATTTGGCCCAATTTTTTTTTATCATAGGTAGCCTGTCCTCTTAAAATAAGTAGGGTATGAGAACTGAACAAAGGGATTCTCTTAATTTAAATATTTTGCCATCTTTTTGTAGAATAGTTCAAATAATAAATACAAAGCAAATAAAACATACTTTTATGACCTGGTTTTTATGATATTTTAAAATAACTGGCAAAGACGTGAATAAAAGTCACGATTATCCGTACTCTCATAAAATGCTTGGACTTTGTTTCTGTTTGCTACTTCTACTTTGTTAGCTATGGAATGATACCAAATATTTGCTTATCAGTGTCGAGATTCCCATGATGCCAACGCTAAAGTACTTTTTATTTTACTTGCTGAGAAGTCGTAATCAAGAAGTAACTAATTGGAATTTATTGGGAGATGGTGGAAGAGGTCTTAAGTACAATAATATTGTAAAAAATAATACTCAGTTGTACCTAATTAAAAAACATCAAACAAACTATAATCCGGGCAGAGAATAGGCACTTACAGGGCAGATAATGTACCATCCTAGGCTGCATCTCACATAACACCAGGTGCAAATGCGGTCAAATACCTGGCTTGTGCATTAACAAAAACATTTGCGCCCGTATTCACAAACATTACTATGAGGTCTCACAGTGCGCATGGACACACAGGATGACAAATGAACCAATCACAGAGCTCTATTCAACGCTGTGAGTTCTATTTGCTGCTTTACTTAGCAAGTATTGTTTGTGAATACGGGCGTTATTGCTGAAGTAGTCTGGTGCTTCATTTGTAGGTACTTACTTGTCTCAGCAACGCTGCAAAGTACTGCTGCCTCAACCGTGAGGTCATCTTCAGGCCTGCGTTGGTGAAGGTGGTGCTCTGCAGACACATGGTGCAGCCGGCGATGGCTGCCACCACAATGAACATCCCCGAGTACAAGTCAGCCAGGTAAGTGATTTGAGAGCGATCAGGTAGCACGAAGATCTGGGGAGTTTAACATTATGCTGGATTTAATATAAGTGTAGCTAGTATAATGCTTTCAAAGACAAGATATAAAACGTTTTCATTGTTCGTTCGTTTCAGCAGAAAGACGTCCACTGCAGGACAAAGGCCTCCCCAAGGATTTCCACAAAGACCGGTCCTGCGCCGCTTGCATCCAGGCGCCTCCCACGACCTTCACCAGATCATCGGTCCATCTAGTGGGAGGCCTGCCCACGCTACGTCTTCCGGCTCGTGGTCGCCACTCAAGAACTTTCCTACCCCAGCGGCCATCAGTTCTACGAACTGTGACGAGTGTGAAAACTTTGTGATCCTATGTGGTCCTATCAGATCTTCACATATCAGTTAACCAGAACAATATTTGTGACATGAAGACTTAAGATTATAGACTAAGAGAGATTTTTTTCTTACCCCACTGGAATAACCGAAGAGCCAAGCGAACACTGGGAAGCAAGTGCCTTGAAGGAAAGCAGCTATGGAGCCAACCACAATCAGTGGCCACTCAGGTGCGTTCAGTTTGAGCAGTTGCCAGTCGCTTATTGGTTTCGATTCCTACGTAAAAAAACATTTTTTATTTTAGATTAAGTTACATTTTTTTGGAATAGTATAGAATTTCTTATTTTTACCTCTTCCTTTTCAGAGTCATCATCAGATTCGAGATCAGCATTGTATACGAAGTTCTGTAAGCCTGTCGACATCACAGAGCTGATGGACCCACGGGGCGTCATCCAGTCATGAGAATCTGAATCAATTAATAGAAATATTGTAGCTATATTTTTTGATTAAATGGATGAAGGCAGTGTTTTGGTAACCTAAATTGTTAGGTAGGTACATACTTACGTAAGTAACTTCACGGTAAAATGAATAAGAATTCGTCATACACCCACCAACAATATTGTTAAAATATTCAAATAAATGTAAATTTATAGCATTTTTAAGCCTACTTAAGTTCTTTTTATACCTATTAAATCTAAGATATTTTCTTACGACGCGTGTAATTGAGATACCTACCTCTCTTTGTAGAGTGGTGTCTGTAAATTTTCCTGTTGGACCGTCTTTTCACGTCAACTCGGGGTGCTAGGTTTACGTCATCACCTCCTTCTTCATCTATAGTTTCTTCTGGCAATGTTTCAATTACGTCTGGCTCCAAATTTTCTTTTCCGGTGGTCACTAATTTATGATAGAACCCTAAATAACAAAAACCATTAATTACTCTTGCAAATATAATGCTAATTAGAATGTGTTATGTTATTTTCACGAGCATTTTACCTTTGAGTTTCATTAACTCTTCGTGAGTACCTTGTTCTACTATTTGACCTTGATCCATACAAACAATTCGGTCGGCATTTACAATTGTAGATAGCCTAAAAATAGCAAATATTTAGTTACTGAATAAGCTTATTAGAATTTACACATGTATCACCGAGGTATCAGCAATCAAGTGTGGTTCCGGTCGAATACACAACTGTTGATACCTAAATAAAAATCGTAAAAAAACTGAATCCAACCTGTGAGAAACGGTAAGAGTGGTGCGTCCTGCACTCGCTCTGTCAAGAGCTGCCTGAACTTGCTTCTCGGAGTGAGGATCCAGTGCAGAGGTAGCTTCATCTAAAAGCAACACTGCTGGTTCCAACAATAGAGACCTCGCAATTGCAATTCGCTGCTTCTGACCGCCAGATAATGAAGCGCCTCTTTCACCGATTACAGTATCATAACCCTAAAAGACCAAGTTATTACTATTTTAATTTCCTAATTATAATAATAAAAATGTTTATTGCCATTAATTCAATGTACAGAGTATTTTATTACTAGCGGCTTCCGCACTAAGCATAACTTGTGTCGCCGTAGCCTTCCACAAACTACTACTACTGATACTTAGACTATAATACATAGTCTAAGTATCAGTACTTACATTTGGTAGATTTACGATGAAGTCGTGGGCATAAGCCATCTCTGCCACTCTTATGATTTCATCTCTCGTTGCTTCTGGGCAAGCAATGGAAATATTGTCATGAATACTGCCTTTGAACAAAACTGGTTCCTGTCCTACGACGCCTGTAAGATTACGTTTAGCAAATTAGTGTCTATTATTCTACAAATACATCAGATTGTTCTTAGGTTATTGTACGGTTTTACCTAATGAAGATCGTAGCCAACCCAAATTAAGATTTTTTATATCTTTTCCATCGAGTTTTACGGACCCTGTTATAGGGTCGTACAGTCGTTGCAGTAATTGCAGAACAGTAGACTTTCCACATCCTGATGATCCAACCAATGCCACGCATTCCCCTGGTTTGATGTGGAGTGAAAGACCTTTCAGAACCTGGAAGTTTTCGAGTTTCATAAATAAGCCTTTTTACTTCAGCGCCCTTGAAAAAGGCGTAATAGAAATAAACTATTTCGAGATGACGCGTGCTTTTATATCACTTCATAATAAGGAATGTTTTATTACCTTAGTATCAGGTCGGGAGGGGTAGCAGAAGTGTACATCTTCCAATTTGATCTCCCCGATCACCCTACGTGGCGACACGCCTGTTTTCGCCATGCTGTCAATCTTTGGGTCTCTGTCCAGCAATTGGAAAATACTAGCTGCAGCGCCTCTGGCAGCCGCGAACACTTCCACATGGGGCACGCAGAATGTGATGGACTGGGTGGCCATGTAAACGCTGAACAATATCTGCGAAGATGCACACCATTGAAAGTATCATCAAGCCAGAAAATATAGTGGGAACAGTTGTAAAGGACAGTTGTAAAAAAATCCAGTCTTACCTAAAAACCATTTGTTCCCGGAAAATTTATTCCCTATTTTTTCATTTTCCCTTATGGCATAATGTCGAGTTCGGGACATTGAACCGAGTACTCTGCCAACCAGTCTTTTACACCCTAATATAAAATATACAAATACACTTACACTGAAAATCACACCGACAGCGTATTTTCTTTCGTCGCTTGGTTTGTCCATGTCCTGTAGCACTAGCCTGGTGCCGTAGGCCAGGCCAATGGCATTTAGAGAGAATGTCAGGACCCAGTTGAATCCATTCCCCAGTCCGGTGTAGAGGCCTCGTTTGCGACCATACCTTTCGGCTGGCTCCAGTAAACGTTGGTACCTATAATTGGAATAAATACAGGGTGTTAAAGAAATTGTGTGCCAGAGCTTAGATGTAGGGTTCAGACCGGTATTAAGTCCGCCTTATGTGCCTACAGTGTTATGTGCATGTAAGTTCTAAATAAACAAATATTTCTAACAATAACAACTCCTAAACACGGGCAAATATTCCATGCAAGCGTAATTTAAATTTACCATTGAACGAAATTAGCATAACCATTGGACGCGCACATGTTGACTGACGCATAAATAATGTTATAATTTGAACTAGGTACTACCTAGTCGGTAATGTTTGCTTTTGTCTTTAAATTAAAAACTATAGGCGTAAAGCGAACAGCTTTGTGTTAAAAGTCGCGTGCTGAGATTTCTTCTAACACGTTTTTTTTGGAAAGAATAAGTAGTTCAAGACCTTTATTTATGACTTGATATTTCACAGAATATACATAATAATAAGTATTTCGATTGCTGCAAAAACAGCATACAATCTGTACTAATAATACAATAAAGCTAAAGAGTTTGTATGAACACGCTAATCTCAGGAACTACTGGTCCGATTGGAATTTATAACATCACCCTGCAGCCAATAGGGGCGGAGCAGTAAAGAAAAATGTTGCAAATTCGGGAAATATTATTCGAATTGTTTTCACGCGTATGAAATCGCGGGCACAGCTAGGAAAAAGTGTTTTATTGGCAGTAGGAGATTCAATTTTACCGTAGTAGAGACAACAGCTTCTCGTGTGCGAGTACAACTCACGCTTGACCTTTTTTTTACTGATGAGCTGAACTCATACTTCATCTATTTTAATTTTTAAATACTGTTAAGCAAAATTCGTTGTTGTTGATATCTTCTTTTTGGCCTAATTACTTAGTATAAGGAAAATACATGTTTTAAATCAAAAGTTATGTGGTTATTCGTAATAAATATAAATAAATGACTTCATTAAGTTACCTTTCGATTTCTTTGTTTTCCCCTCCAAAAGCAATAACTGTCCTTACGGATTTCAAAACTTCTTCTGCTTGTTTGCCAGCTTGACTGTATGATTCCATTTCAACTATCGAGGAACTGGTTTGGTACTGCAATAAGATATTACTCGTAAATCTTAAGTAAAATGGTTTTTTTTCGGGTATGACCTTGATAAAGAAGATAAAAGTTAATTTGTGACGACTTTAAAAAAAAGATAATTTTGAGTAATATTTTAAAAGTCCACTAAAACTTTAGTAGCTTTATTGAAAAAGCAGTACGTCACAGACTTCAGCAATGTGAATGTACGCTAGATGCTATCCATATTCAGTCCTATCTTAGGCCTTTGGCCTATGGTTATAGAGATAAATAGAGAGATGCCAACTTACTATTAATGCGCTGAGTTCGAAACTAAGTGTCGCATTAGAAATTCACACACACAAAGTAATCAAAATATGTGCTCATTATCCACTGCGGAATCACTACTCAACTTTCGAATAATCTTTAGTACTACGCAAGCAATGTAAGCTGTTTACATTATGACGTCGCTGCTGTCATCATTGCTGTCACGAGCAAAGTGTTTTGTTTTTGGGCATATTGCTCCGACACCGGCCCCGCCCCTAGTCACATCTCCCTTTAGTTTCTGTGATCTGTGGTTTTCATGCTGTACTCACATTGGACAGGATGACTGACGTGATGATGGAGAAGGGAACCACAGACACGCAGGCCAGCGTGAGCTCCCAGCCTAGAGGAAAGGCTGTGCACAGACAGATGATGAACGTCCCCACCAAGTTTGCGACCACTGAAAGCTTCTCTCCCATCCCTTCTTTCAGCTTCATCATATTTCTGAAAATATTATATTTATTTAGTCATGAAACGGTGATTTTTCTTCAAGATTTTATAAATTATTTTGCGGTTTTAGTTTTAATAAAGGTAAAACGGGTTGAGTTTTCATATGAAAAACATGTAAATATGTATAACCTTATACAGTTGTAGATAGTCATCATAAATGATAACGCTATCTAACTGTTAGTTAACGGTTGTTAATTTTATCAGTGAGGAAATCTGTCAATTATGTCTAAGTACGACCACAGGTACGACCTGCAAAATGAATATAGGCAGTATCATAAAATCCTAATAGGCTATCAGAGATTTAATCAGAAAGTGGTAAAGTAAGCCCTTATGAAATAGGATTACAGGTACCGCTCTACTTACTCTGACATTTTGGAAGCTAAGTTAAATTCTGAATCCGTGTCGAACCACTCCATGTCTTGTCGGAGCACAGCCGTCAGAAACAGAGTTCGTATCCTTGTTATCTAAAAAAGAACAAAAAAAAGTTCCGTAAACATCCTTTCCTTATTCGAGATCAAATTTTAATATGTCGTAATAACAATGAATCAGCCTACCTCAATATAAGAACTCAAATCTCAAGAATCAAAGTCAACTGATGTGCATTAAAATAAATTACACAAAATGTTTTTATTAAAGCGTGAAGCAGATCGAGTCAATAAGAGACAAGGTCTTCAATTGAGGCAATTACTGCTTGCCTCAGTGAAATGTATCAACATTAATGTTAGTGTGTTTATCGTATCTTTCAGATAGCAAACGATGTTACCTAACTTCGGTTAAGCTTTTTATAGAAATTATAGGTATTAGTTATCATTCTGACAATCATCATCAGACGAAATAAATTACCAGAAGGATCAAAAACGCTTTAGGTACCTACTCCTTAGAGTATTTGTTATGTTTGTTAATTAACTACTTCAGCGATTTATCAAGTTACGAACGACTTATTTTGAAATGGTAATGGTGGCCTAAAATCAGCATCTTATAGGATATCTCGTTCATTTACTGTACCTACTAAGTAGGTAAGTCAAAAGTTATGTCTACGTAGGTCTCCAGGAAGGAATGATTTTAAACGTAACAATTTTCCTCAAGATCAGCTGTTCTAATCTCAAATTAACCTTTCCAGACAAATTATCATCATCAGTACCTGTGTCAGTAACTAATCAGCCAATAAATATGGGGACGTCCATTGTTTTTTAGAATTTAGGTAGGTATTGGTTCCTGTAGGAAAGTTGTTGCGCCGTATAATCAATCCTCAACCAAAGAGGATTTAATACTTCACGATGACTTCACGTAAAGCGAAACTATTTTTAGATATACCTAAATGGCATCAATACCTGTCTTAGTGCGCTCCAGCTCACGAGGGCGGTGGATACAACGCAGAACAGCAGGGATATGGCGATACTTAGGAACATGCCAGCTGCCATGGCTTTTCCATCAGCTACCAACGCGTCCATGTTTTGCTCATGGGTTGCGTTCACCCTGTTAAAAAAGACAATGAAATATTTTTCTCAAATCGTTCGTTCGTTTCAGCTGAAAGACGTTCACTGCTGGACAAAGGCCTCCCCCAAGGGTTTCCACAAAGACCACCTTTTCTCAAATACTGAAGTCAGAACTGAATGCCGTTCAAAGTGAATCATTAATCATCAGGTATTTTAGTCTCCACTGCAGGAGCTCTGACCTTTCTCATTTATCAGAATCAATTGTAGAGCCTGGTATTGTAGTGTGTTTTTATTTACTAGTCATGTAAGCGAATTTTTATCAAAACATAACAATAACTAGATTATTCTTGTGATTAAATAACAAATTATACGAGTATATGTACCTACGTACCTAGTCTTTTTGCAATACTTGTCATTGTTTTATTGTTCTTCGTCCAATTTAAAAATCCTAGATAGGATTAGAATTTTGATAGTAAATATCTAAATATATAAAAGGAGAAACTGACTGACTGACTGACAGATCAACGCACAGCCTAAACGGCTAAACGTAGGCACTTGAAATTTGGAAGGGACGTAGCTTAGGTACCGTAGAGGTGCACTAAGAAAGGAATTCCCGAAATTCCCACGGGAACGGGAATTAGCGGAAAAAACGGGATTCACGCGTACGAAGTCGCGGGTGGCCGCTAGTTAAATATAAAGTAATCCAATAAAATGAATTCAGTGATAAAAAACTTTTGGAAAATTGCTACTGAAGATTTAGCTGCACTGTCATTAGTTAAACAACTTGTCTCACACACGTAGCTAGTAGGTACTCGTATTTTTTCCCTGCCTCTTATCTAAAACTGGCATAATAAAAAGATGAATTGGTGTGTATTTATATTTTATTTATTCACTGTCTATGAAAAAAGTGATAAAAATTATCTGTTTTGGCTTTTAGGCTAACTTTGACCGTAACTATAACGATAACCGGTGTTTTTTGTATGGAGTTTGACAGATTATTGACGTTTGTCAGAGATAGTAAGATGGTGCAACCAGCCTAAAATACTTACAGTCTCTGTCCTCCACCGAACAGAGCAGAGAGGGGCATAGAGCTGCTGAGCTTGTGTGTGTACGTCGTTCGCTCCACGAAGGCTGTGCTGAGCTCCCCAAACTGCACCAGGTTGTACACTATGCCACCCCCGCTCAGCAGACCCACGAAGACTCCGAAGATGGTCGCCGTGATCTCCAGGCATGTCGCGTACCGAAACTGAAAAGTATTTACACGACTCATTAACTTTCCCCCGGGACAAACTTGACCTTCACTGGTTGGGTTTTTATTTGCGGTCAAGCTGTAGATCCTGGCTACACAGGAGTTGCAGCGGTGAGAACGAGAGGTGGGAATGGTCCCGTATACGGTTGATCATCATCATCATCAAGGGTTTTGGTCCGTATGATAAAACAAAGCTTGAAAAATATCAGGTAGATGTGCCAAGATTCAGGCTTTTGATTTTAACCAAACATTTAAATCAATCGCAGGGCATCTATGACTGACATTGCATCAAGTTTTGAGCGTTGTTTTAATAAGGGCTCAGGCAGCTTTATGACTTGTATTTTCTATTACTTTTGATAACATGTTATAAGTCGACGACTTATGTCGGCGGGTTGAATTGGTGTGCAGTGTGCATTATAACATGGACCTTAGCCTCCACTGCAGGAGAAAGGCCCCTCTCATTGACCAGCAAATGGAGGATTAGGCTTTAGGATGCCTTAGGTTCGGAGGACTTGCACGATTATACAATGCATGACGTCAGTGTCAGTGTTTAAATAATGTTTTATTTTCAATTAACGGTAACATGAAGCCTTATCAGACAGACTACAAAAGTCAATGGACTTTTAACATCGTAGTTAAACGAGATTAAAAGATAGAAACGATGCATTTATTTATCAAACTCTTATATCTTAAGTACAATACGTTAAATTATGATTTCGTACAGAAAGGAAGACTATAAGGGCCTTGTTTGAATTCTTTGGAAAATTAGCCTCAGTCTAAGTATTTGTTTTTTGAAACGCTAACTGAATTCGTCTTGAAGGTCGGTAACAGAAAATTCATTGTTCACGCACAGTGTCAGAGCGTATCATTATTAGAAGGCAGCTATTTACGATATTACTAGAGTTTTACTATACGCCATGAATGAACATTTTCTATTCCGGTCTACTTTCCTTAAATAGTTTTAATCTTAACTTTACAGATTACAGCATTGACAGAGCTCTTAACTGTAATTCTATCCAATTTTAAAACAACATAGTAACGTCTTGTATTGATAGTAATACTAAGTACCTACTTGTTAGGTACTTACTTACTATGATCGTGACCACGTTTGTCACGATTTATAATCGAACTTATTATTACGCTCTATATGTTTTGATTGTCGGTCATTGAAGTTAGCCCTCCCTTCTGACATAACAACGATGTCTCTGAATAAGGAAAAAGAAAGATCTAGATTATCTAGAAGAATTATTACGAGTTCCATTGTTAGCGATGGACAGTTCCGTATAAAAACAATTCACTAAGGCCCAGAACAGACGGTGCAACTTTCTGATAATTCTGATGAATGAAACTGAAACTGAAAGTTTCAAACTGGTCGCGTCATGTGTGGTCTCTCAACGGCCGCTATGGCAGAAACATAGATGCAACTCAAAAGTAACTAGCAGTTGCAGATTCGTTGCAGTTGCGTTTCACCGTCTGTTCTGGGCCTAATGTGTCATAATTGAATAAATTATTTTTAACACCGCTGTCTTCCTCTAAATATCTCTAAATCTCAATGGAATGTTTATAATTCCCGAAGAAGAATTAGAGCACTTTTTAAAAACACGCGTTGTTACAACCCTGATGACGTCATCGCGGGAGACATTGCAATGCAACACTATGGAAAATAATGCGCAATTTTAAATCAAACTTGAAAGATACTCTGTTTCCAGCAAGCCATCGGGATAATTAACATATTTACCTTATTATTTGTTTTCATTCGATTAAAATAACATAAATATAAACTACTAGCTTTTGCCCGCGGCTTCACCCGCGTGAAATTTCGTTTGTCACAAATCGTCACAAATTATAGCCTATATGTTATTCTGAGTTATAAACAATAATACTGTAAAGTTTCATCAAAATCCGTTCTGTAGTTTTTACGTGAAAGAGTAACAAACATCCACACATCCAAACATTCGCATTTATAATATTAGTAAGATTTTCGCTACAAACACTATTTAAGGGTTAATTATATGGTACAACTAATCTTATATGATAGGATATCTATACTAATATTATAAAGAGGAAAGATTTGTACCTATTTTTGTATGTTTGTAATGAATAGGGTCAAAAACCACTGAACGGATTTTGATGAAACTTTACAGTATTATTTTTCATAATCCAGAATAACATATAGGCTATAATTTATGACGATCTGTGACAAACGAAATTTCACGCGTGCGAAGCCGCGGGCGGAAAGCTAGTAACTTATAAAAAAACAATTTTATTACTTACTATTTGAATGAATGAGATTCTAATGTCGTCTCTCGGCGGCCTGTAAACAAATCAACGGTTATAATTAATAAAGATAATATGCTATAATAAAAGTAGGTAATCAGATATTTTTTTTGTAATAAATAAATGAAATTAATTATATATTTTTTGAACCTATTAAATTGCCCTTTCATTGGCGAAAACACATCCCGAGCGCGTACGCGCCGTCACTGTGATATTTTTTACTCATCATAGCACACTTTTAAATGCGATTATTAGGAGCCCGTTGGTGGTATTGTACCTACTAGCGAAAAAACATTTTACCATAATAATAATCATAAGTATGAGTTTATCAAACTATCATGGCACGTTTGTAGTTAGGTACAAGTTCGACGTGATTTTGTTTTGTTTATCAATTACGAGCACTTATAACTTTTATGTAACTGAAAAAAGAAATATAGAAGTTTTTAACTCCCATTAATTAACAGTTGTTTAGTTAAAAATTAAGATACAATTTCGAAATATTTTTTATCAGTAAGTTAATCAAGTAGTGAGTTAAATGTAATACTTACTTATCAATGTGCAACAGCTTTTTAGTACTAAAACAAGTTGTTAAAATTGTAGTAATTTATTTGTTATCTTCACACAAGACTTGGAAAACAGTGAATTGTATGCACCATAAATTATTATTTCTTATATTTATGGTCTGATAAATCATTCTTTTATTTACCTACTACGAGTATAAGTAAGGCACGTCTAGTGTAATATGCAAAAGTCGAACTCTATCTATATTTCATAACACTACACTCATTTAAGCTTCTTTAGTATTTACTATTTTCGCACAATCGCCATGCATTTTCAAAAGAACATACCTAATAATATTAAATTGGGACTTAAAAAAATTAAATTGATAGTTTAAAAAACTTGTAAACATAATATTTTATTATGTTTACACAAAATTATATATAACACAAAATTATATTTTTCAGTATAATTAAGTAAGTAAGTATCGTAAAATGAATCTCCTGTACATACATTAACACTGCATCGATGGAACGATGTGAGCTTTGATTAAAAAATACAACAACAAAAAATGAGGTTGATTTACTAAACTTAATTTGAAAATCATTGTACCTACTATAAATTCTCTTTAAAACATTTTTATAATGTATGACTAAATAACAGACTTTTGATAGAGCAATAATTTATGTACACATTATCTGAATCAAATCTGATTTGCTAAACAACGTCGCTCCACAGCAAGTTAATGCTTTATTTAGCTAAACTCCAGTTTCAAAATTCAGTGGCGGATTTACCAATAGGCCAAGTAGGCCAGTGCCTAGGGCGGCAGATTTAGAGGGGCGGCAAATTTAGCAAATTTTTTTTACAGGAAAAAAAATAAATAATTATACGTATAACTACCTACACAATCCATATACATATAAATAAACGATTAATAAACGCACTGTAATATATACTTATGTGATCATGAATTTTAAAATATTCCAATAGCGTTTCAACAAAAATAAAATAAAAAACTCTTAAGTAACACAGGATCTTCGGAGCCTAGCACGAGCACCATCTCTCCACAACTTCGTGTATATTGTTTTACAGGGTAGCCCAGAAGAAAATTCACTTTTGAAAATTCAAGGAAACGAAAACTGTACATTTTTGTAGAACGCTATTGCAATTTAAAGGAAATTTAGTGCAATTTATTTTAAAATTTACTATCTTTATACGCCGCGCCTTTGCACTGTTTACTTTATACGCGCCGCGTGAACACCGCTGCCGCGCAGCCGCCGCGCCGCCGCCGCGCCGCACGCGAAATTATGCTTTGTTGGCGCGGTGGCGGCGCGGAGGCGGTTTTACTCGGTGCGTATGAACAGTGTAGCGGCGCGGCGACGGCGCGGCGGCGGCGCGGTGGCAGCGTCGTGTGCAGGAGCCCTTAGAGTTACCCCAAAATGGATTCAGGATGGATGAATGCTGCAGAGTTTTTGCNTTGTCACCAAAGAGTAAAATAATTATTGTTTGTCACTGAGTGATTGGTGACTGACAGTTCAGTGACAGCTGTTAAATGTCACGTCAAATAGGAGGCAAAGACGTCAATACTTATTCGTCTTTAGTTATTTTTTTGTGTAACGATGTAACGGTATTTACATTTGACGTTATTATTTTATTCAAACCGTTATTTACCTGTTTCTTTGTACTTTATTGGTTTTGTAAACAGTCAACCGGCGGGTAATGCACTACTATTAACCGTATCCGGTTCAGCTTCATGTAGTAGTCCACTCGCGTATTTTTATTATAGTTTTATTTTTTTTTATAGGTATATTTATTATTTTTATATTATAGTAAGTACACAAATATGTCAGATGACGACGAATCATTCGTTTCTGCTAGTGATCACTCCTCCTCTTTTTACTCTCTGCATTCTTCCAACTCCTCGTCTTCTCTTCACAACTCTCTCTTCCTCGAACTTCAAAATTGCGTTAATCTTCTTAACATATGCCATATAAATGCGCAAAGCATACCCCAACATTACACCGAACTTCTCAACACTTTCTCTACCGACATCATCCACGCCTTGCTGGTCTCCGAGAGCTGGTTGAACCCTAACCTGAACTCGACATCGTACTCACTCCCTGGCTTTGTCCTGATCCGGAACGACAGGCTCGGTAAGAGAGGAGGCGGTGTCGCCATCTATCTTCGAAGCGACATACCTTTCAAAATCATATATTCTACACCGGGGGATTACTCTAATTCCATCGAATATATGTTTCTCGAGGTGCTCGTAAGGGGCACTAAAGCTGTTCTCGGAGTCGTATACTGTCCGCCTTCTGTCAACTACTTCTCCAAGCTGGAATCTNAAGTTATTAAGTTTTCTTTACAACAAGTAATTGGAAGAAAAAAAAATCTATAAAAAATTTTAAAAAAATCACAAAAAAATTTTGACCTCTTTTTTGTCGATAAAAATAGGTCTAGTTTCATCTATTTTCATATGTACACTTTAACGTGACTCACACTGTATAGTGTAGGTATTTTTAAGTCATGCCTTTGCCCACCTTAGGATTAGTACATACTGCTATTTTTAGGTCAAAATTAAACTCTTGATTACATAGCGGGTTGCAATAATAATCTAGTAACTGATAGAAATATCATTAAGTTCACAATCATACTAATAACGGGATTAAACTAACGTATTGAATTTCAAAAGTCAGTAGGTAGGGGCGGCAAAAATTGAATGGCCTACTAGCGGCAAATTTGTAAATCCGCCACTGTCAAAATTATTATGAAATTCAATTTGTATTGCACAATACGTTAATATCTCGCTGAGCTAGTTAACCACAGTATTTTGGACATTCATGAATGATTAAAGCTACTTACGGTGTTTTTTCTTTTTTCTTAATTCCCATTTTGTTGACCCATACAATTCAAGAAGTTTCCTATGATGTCTCCCGCGGGAGGTGCGCACTGAACTGCGGCGCACGCGCAACTGGTTTACAGCGGACTTCAGCGGCACTTACAGAAAGCGCTTCAACCGCCACCACCCGCCTCAGACTAAACGGCTGTATCGCGGCAAATGCTCTTATATTAACAGATCTCAGCCGAAGTTAACTCAAATTAAAGACTGAAGATAGCGCGGTTTAAGAACCGCGAAGAACCTAGGAAAACTTCACGACTGAAAATTTCAAGGATATGAATATTGAATGGGGAAAAATCTATAAGCATTGATTTTAAATTGACTTGCATCATAGTAAAAGCAAAAAATATTTTATTTGCCAAAAAAGAGGCTTGCAAGCAGTCTATTCTTCTAGCGGCTGCTGCAATAAGATAATAAGTTTAACAATATTGATAAAATATAGTGAGGACACACGGTACAATTACCAATATACTAGAGTACCTATGTACTTATACCTATTTTCCATGCTTGCATTCAGTTGTTATCTAAACGTCTACACCGGAAACTTATCATGTAATTGAAATGGAATGGAAAGGACATAGTATCCAAGGAATGACGTAGTCAACATATTTTCTTAAACATTATTCCAAATTCCCAATGTAAGTGCTTATCTATTGGGACCTTTAACGTCAATTTCTTGATAATGGAAACTGAAGACAATCGTTAAATTGTAAGTTTTCTTTGAAAAGTGTATTTTAGCCGAGTCTAAAATTAATACAGCTGTTAGTAACTAATCGTAAGTTGATAAATAAAACTGAAAACTTAATCTTTATGTCATAACATAGTCATACCTACCTAGGTATTTGTACGAAACAATCTTGATTGACTACTAATACTAATGTTACTTTTTCGTGGAAGCTCCGTGTTAGTATGCGACCCTTAATTGCAGCTTGCACCTTTAAAACAATCACTAATAGACTAAGAGCTGGTGAAGCGTATGCTTCCAATATAGATTTGAATCATTACAAAGTTGGTGAATCATGAAGTTTGGGTCATATTGGCTTTGGCTACCCTCAAAAGATTGTCTGGCAAGGAGTTGGAACTGTCAAAACCTATATTGGGAGCATACGCTGACAAACTTTTAGTTTTTATAAAATGACGTAGGTCTCTTAGTCTATAATGTTACAACTGACTTGGCAAAACATTTCCATTTGGGTGTCATTTTATTCACTTACACTTTGACCTGAATATTACGAGAATGAATTAGGTAGGTATTTGTTTCTAATCACTGGTGTCGTGGATAGAACTTTTCATAGATTTTTTGCTATGTCATGTTGGTTTTAAATGTAACTAAATATTTTCAGTCGTCTTTTGTTTTCTTGTGGTTAGTTATTATCTAAAAAATAAAATTTACGCACGTTGCTAAGGAAATTTATCTAAGCTTTCTAATAGATTTATCTTACAGAGTACATGGAGGACTAAATTTTAAAATCTTATTTTGGAAATGTACAATTTCTTACTAACATTGAGTCTTAATAGTAACGTGCGATTTATCCTTAACAATTTGATTTTTTAATCCTGTTTTCCACGATAAGGTTGCATTATCCTCTTCCTTTAATGCCTAGTTACAAAAATACACAAGGAGGGTTTTTACCGTTATAAAGTTTCATATTTAGGGAAACCTTAATTGGTTATTTATTAAAGACTTTACAAACTTGATGTGTCATCATTGTTAGACTGGAAATGTTTATGGCACATTATAAATTTATATTTAGACAAGGAAAAAGTAGTTGAAACTGTATGTACATTATAGCTGAAGTCAGGTGAAAAATGCCTCCTGAAAGCTTTGGGAATTTTGTAGAAAAGTATATCTGTGATCATTTGGCTGTAAACATTATCTATTATGAAAAAATAACATGCTTATCTTTTACAGAAGATTTACATGTGTGTGTGGGTTATGTCGTAACTGGTCGTAACCCAGCGCAACATCAGCACAATATGAGTTTCAATTTTCTATCCACTACGAGGAAGTTCTTTGCCTGTATCTCATCTTGATCTTGATGGAAAGTGATGATCAGACCCAAGGAAAGCAAGCTTTATTCGGAATCCTATTTTCCAACAGTCTTGTTGTCTCACAATTGGCTTAGCAAACAAGAAAACTGTAGATCCTGGCTATACAGGAGTTGCAGTGATGGGAACGACTGGTGGGAATGACCCCGTAGTAATGAATCCATTTGCAACTTATTAGTTTTTGAACTTTTTGTGTAACATCTGGGAACCCTAAGAAAGATCAATTCTACTTGTCCATGGAAGAGTTCGCTTATTGGTATTAAATTAATAAAAAAATAACATCATCAGCGAGCAGATTCAAGTAATATCTGTCTAATAGCACCGATAAGGAACAGACATATCTCTGCTTTATAATTGCGAATAAATATTGACAAAGATATCGACTGTTTGTACATAGTAAACGCTAATTATTATAACAGTGCTGTGTATTCCGGCCGGGGGATCGTATCAAATCGCAATAACATATATNTTGAAGGAATGTATCGCTTTACCTGTCACCCTGTATATGAAGTTATAGGGTCAGCTATGTCATGATGAAGTATTAATCTCACCATTTCTGTGGTCCAGGCGGCGGCAAGACCCTGGCAGCGGCGGCTCGTATGGGGCAGACGGGCGCCAAGGTTAAGGGAACCCCGGCCCCCGTGCAGGTCACCGTCAAACCCACCACTAATCCGTTGGCTGGTAAGTATCACCCCATATCTTACTGTAGAAACTCTTTTTTAGGGCATAGTGGACCAACGAACTAAAGCCACTGACATAGCCCGACGGATTAGCAAGCTGAATTGGCAATGGGCAGGGCACATAGTACGCAGAATTGACGGTCGATGGGGCAGCAAAGGTTCTGGAGTGGAGGCCACGTACCGAAAAACGCAGCGTGGGACGTCCACCCACAAGGTGAACCGACGACCTGATAAGGGTAGCAGGAAGGCGCTGGATGCAGGCCGCCACCAACCGGGCGATGTGGAAGTCATTAGGGGAGGCCTATGTTCAGCAGTGGACGTCCTATGGCTGAAATGATGATGATGATGGACCAACGAGACTCGTTCTCGTCAATAACTGCAACCCTTTTACTTTGAAAAGTTGTGTTAACTTGGAATCCTTTTGGTTAGCTAAAGCTGTAGTGTTGCTGGGTTCGAGTCCCGGTCTTATCTGGATATTTTATGTCTGATTTGAGTCAATTCCTATTGACATTAATTCGTAAAACTGATCTGACAGTTTGGGCAGAAATCATTCCAGTGACGACCACGGACCGTAAGGCCCAGAACAGACGGTGAAACGCAACTGCAACGAAACTGCAACTTTCTGATGATTCTTATGAATGAAACTGAAACTTTCAAACTGGTTGCGTCATGTGTGGTCTCTCAACGGACGATATGGCAGAAACTTAGATGCAACTCAAAAGTAACTAGCAGTTGCAGTTTCGTTGCAGTTGCGTTTGACCGTCTGTTCTGGGCCTAAGACGAAGTGTGACAAGCCTCCCACTTGTAGACCTACGAACTAGTTAAGTTTGCGTAAACGCCTGGATACGGGCAGCGCAAGAACGGTCTTTTTAAAATTCCTTAGAGAGGTCTTAATCTAGTTCTATCATTTGTTTAAAACGAATGAAGAATAATTAAGTTATTATGGTAAACAATGCACCAGGCAACTGGCTAAACTGGATCTGGGATCGGTCCCTAGTGTTGTCTTTGACGGAGTTGTCGTTAACTTCTCTCCATACGTAAAAAATCTCGGACTCTTCATTGACAGCACTCTGAGTTGGTGCCAGCATGTCAGGGAAGTCAGTAGGAAGGTGATCGGCTCAATGCGGGCACTCTACCGCTTTAAAAATTTCCTCCCTTCCAGCACTAAGACCTTACTTGCTCAGTCTCTGATCCTGCCTATCCTCGACTATGGTGATGTATGCTGTACGGACATCTCACAGGAACTTTTAAACAAGCTGGACCGCCTCTTAAANATAAGCAAATCAAACTCGTGAGCCTTGTTAGGGTTACACTGGTTAAGGCGACCCTTTACAAGGCTTGGAAGCATGTGGGTAACAAGCCATTGGACGTGGAGAGAGTCATTAATTATACGTATATTTTCTACTTTGCCGAACTTTTAGCGCGAGAACGGTTTGTCCAAAACATATGAATTTGGTCTTATTCAATGCAGGATTAAGTGCCCTTTAACCGTCATGAAGACCACTTTTCGATAGGGTTAGTCCTTTACGCGGTATAACCGGAAAACTGAAAAAACGCCCCTTTCGGGCGCCCCCACCACTTAAGCACAACTCCGTCGAAGTCGAAAACTTAGGAGAGTCTTAATGGGCAACCAATGAAGCCATTAAAGCAAAAAAATCTTTTGTAGGAATTATTTCCGATTTAATCAATTTTTGTGTTTAATTCTACTGGCCTAATATTACATAGGTACATTTCAATTACTTTTAGTTTTAGAGATAAGACAATACTCACTCGGAGCAATAAATTATAACAAGTCAGAGAGATACTACTTTTAAATTAATAAAACAACAATGATATTGTATTGATTTATTTTTAAACAAAACATAATTGTTATGACTAAGAAAAAACTCAATTTAGGTAGAGTTGTTTCCAAAAATATGATTTTTCACGTGTTTTCCTGTTAAACCACTTCTGATGCAATAACTTACGCCTCATGCCTACATCAAGACCAAAGTTGTACCTATACTTTTAAAAAAAATAGGTTACCAAAAAGCTCAATTGTTACATTTCAAGCCTAATCCACAACACATAATATATATTTTGAATATTTTTCCAATAAGATTGGCACCTGGGACTACGGGTGTCTATGGGCGACGGTAATCACTTATAGATGACCCACGCTGAACTGTCCCGCCAAACTCAATGACAGGGGGGCGCTACCATCGTTCAACTTTATGGTTTCCAACATGGCAAAAATCGGAACCAGCGATTCGGTATTGACGGTGGCGCCCCGCTGTCAATGTCATCGATAGGACAGTTCAGTATTTTGGAACTATACCGTCAGGTGATCCGTCTGCTCGTTTTCCTCCTGTCACATAAAAAAAAAACAATGCACATCGAGTATCAAGATCCTGCTTTGAAATGCGTACCTACT